TGTCCAAAAATGCATGTTCCAAAAATGCATGTCCAAAAATGCATCTTCCAAAAAGGAATGTCAAAAACACATGTTCTGAGAATGAGCTCCCCCCTCCACCCTCGCTGCACCCAGCTGCCCACCCACCCCTCGCCCTACCCAGGACAGGCGGCCCTCCCCCCCTCCATGGGCCGTCGCCGGCACATGCATTTTTGGACATGCGTTTCTGGGACGCGCGTTTTCGGACATGCGTTTTCGGCACATGCGTTTTCGGACATGCGTTTTTGGACATGCTTCTTTGGGACATGCGTTTTCGGACGCGCGTTTTTTGGGAGCAAATACGCGTTTTCCACTGTAAAATACACATTCCACACCTTCCGCCCCGGATCTTGATAACCAGCAGCCTCACGGCCCCTGAGGGCTGGAATACGCATTCTACAGTGGGAAAACGCGTATTTGCCTCCCCAAAAAAGCATGTCCGAAAACGCATGTCCCAAAAACGCATGTCCAAAAACGCATGTCCGAAAACGCACGTCCCAGAAACGTATGTCCAAAAACGCATGTCCGAAAACACACGTCCCAAAAACGCATGTCCAAAAATGCATGTGCCGGCGACAGCCCATGGAGGGGGGGAGGGCCGCCTGTCCTGGGTAGGGCGAAGGCATTCCTTTTTGGAAGATGCATAATTGGATATGCATTTTTGGACATGCGTTTTTGGAACATGCATTTTTGGACATGCATTTTTGAATATGCATTTTCGGAGCATGCATTTTTGGAACGTGCATTTTTGGACATGCGTTTTTGGAACAAGCATTTTTGGATATGCATTTTTGGAACATGCGTTTTTGGACCTGGTGTGAACATGCGTTTTCCGAGATTCCAGGATTCCCAGAGCTTATTCATAACGGGCCTTATAAGAGTAACAGTTAAAGAGACCACCGGGCATATTAAGACATGTGTTGGGACAGAGCGCATATGTAGCCGATGCCTTCGAAATACCATGAACAGCAAAGTAATGGTGAAAGATGGTGAAAGCTGTGGGTCCGTTTCGGGGGGACGGCGCATCGTTGCGGAAACCCGGATGTCGGACGCACGCGGCGTCGAGCAGAGTCGAGCAGCAAACTTTCGGAGGCGCCTGGAGCCGACAACCCCACAGCCCGAGAAAGCTTAAGAAATGAACGAAAAAAATGTGGAGAACAAGCACAGTGAACAAAGTTTTCTTTTCGGGGTTTAGAAACGTCGAGCGCGTTAGAGCGTGGAGTTTTTGGGTTCTGCCCGACCGAAAACCCTCTCCCCGCAACCCCGACAAGAGGCTTCCCTTGGGTTCACCCACGGTTCGCCCGCCCACCCCCAACCCAAACAGACCCAAGCCCCATGCAAACCGCAAGCCCCCACTCCAGAAGTTGCCCGTGCGAATCTTTCGCATCAGCCAGCGAAAGCACAGTGCTCGCACGCATACTGATACACCGTGCGCTCCGCTTGTTCCTCGCCAGTACTAAATAGACGCTGCTCGTTCACTGTGAAGGCAGTCCCTTTTGCTGGGACAAAGAAGTGGCCCGATGTGATATTGTGGCGGAATCAAATGCTACGACATCGGGCACCAAAGGGCTGCCATGTGAGAATGCACGCATCTGTATAATGATCCAATTACATACATACCGAAAAGTGGCGTTTCTCGGAACGACCAAATGCGACGCGTCTTGCGGAGTCTTGCGATCTCTAGGTTTCACAGCGACAGCAATGATGAGTGCACGAACGAAAAAAGCAGGCCGACCAAAATGCCGTCTCCTGCAAGATGAGGGCCCTGTCCCCGCCATGGCAAAACGAGCAAGCGAGGCGATTTCAGGATATGCTCTGCATTGGGGGCAAGTGCCGAGCCCGATTGCTTTGGCGGTGGGCTGCGGTGTGGGTCGTTTGTTTGGGGATGATCAAGGCGCCCTCAAGCCGTGAAGGCTGTAATCCGGCTCTCTCAAGTCTCGCAGCAGCTCGGAAACGGACAGACTGGACCAGGCGTTGTGCTTTCGGACAGCCTTTGTGGATGCAGATGGGACCATCGACACCGCAGCAGCCTCGTCCCAACCAGAACACAGCAGTCTCGTGCTAAGTTTAACACGTATTTTCGTTGTTTTGGAGCATGTTCCCTGCCTTTCCTTCCTTGCATGTTTTGTGCTATGCCTGACGTTCTTACCAGGCGGTTGTTGCTGGTTGTTCTTCTTGTTGTAGGTCCGAGAAGTCTGCGCTGCCACTCCCCTTGCCAAGCACAACCGAAGATGAACACATCAGACAGCTTGGGAGACACTGGTGGCCTGTCTAAGTGACGAAGTGAGGATGGATGCTACATGCTGCTAGGTGACGCAACAAGTCAGTCGAGCTTCAGAGCGGCATCAAAAAACATATCAGGTCGGAGCAGCTTTCCAAGTTCCTCTCCCCAAATCATGAGGCTCACGAAGTCCCATTCCGGGTCCGTCCACGGCGATGATAGTGCATATTCTGAACATGTCATATTCCCCATCTCACGTTCCAATAAAAGCCGAGAATGCCGAGATGGGAGTGCCGGGGTTGCGGAAGCCATCGTCCAGCCTTGGCATGCGCAAGTCGTAAGTTGCAATTGTCTTGAAAGCACTGCAAATGGCCAGCATGGTCCACTCGAGCTTAAGCCCCTTAGAATCCCTCAGTGATCGAGCACACTCTCAAATAGCAAAGTGAAGCGTCCCATCCCATAGCGTGTTCATGATGCAGTCGAAGAAAGTCGGCACTTGCAAACAAGGCGCACGCCCAAGCTTTTGACTCCAGTCAGGTCGGATGGCATATAGCGGGTCGATACATGAGGACCGGTTGTCATTCGTGTTATTCTCGCGTGCAGCAGTGCATTCTCATGGCAGCGACATGACGAGGACGTGGTTCACTCCCGACTTTCTGTCTACATTTCCAGTGGACCGCTGTGTGGAGGCAAGCCTTATCAAACCTCAAAGACACACGCAGTTGCTCCTGCAGTTGTTGCTGTGGTATGCTGCGGTAGTGCAGTGTGGCTTGCCATTCGCGAAATATGACTGCTGGTGATGTATGCAGTATGCCCACCTCGTGTGGATGACATCATGCATGCCATATGTTGCAGTCGTGTTCTGCCAGCGGCCAACTCTTTATGCAGTCTGTGGTACATGGTGCCAAGGCCATGACTGGAAGCGGTGGTGAAGCCCGTGTTCTGAAGATGGTGGGACACACATGCTTTCACGAACGCTGTTGTCTTGAGTTTGCGGGTTGGCAGCTGTGCATCTGGACACAGATTCGAATGGTGCGCTTGATGCGTCTTCTGAAGCTGGCACGCATGATGAAGATGGGTCAGATCCTCAGCGCTTGTGTCATCATCATCATCATCATCATCATCATCATCATCATCATCGATGTCGTTGCCCTCCTCATCAGTAGCATCAGTAACAGTCGCACACGCCTTGAGGACGGCTGATCCAGCGGGTGGAGGACTGCAGAGCTGCTACGGCAAACGCAAAAACGCTCAACCTGCCTTTTTCACGCCTTCCGACTGAAGACCCTACGCCCTACACATCAGGTGTGACCACCTGCATATTCAGAGAGTGCAATGTTCCCAGTATGGGCGAAGCAATTTTGCGATTTGTGGCGCAAGATGTCCCTGCACAAACAAGCGACTCCTGTCGTGTGTGCTCGCTGTTATGGTAGACTGCGCAGTGTTTTTTAGCTGGCTAGCGAACCCGACGCTATCCAGTAGTTGGCCGTTTGGCCATCAGCCAATGGCTTACAAGGGATGCAGGGGATGCTGGTCGAGAGGATTGATTGACGCAGCGCCAACGAAAGACAGCTTGGGCAAGTGAAAAGAGCGCTGTAGCTGTAGACAATTGACAAAGTCCATTGGCTGGCCGCTATCCCACGCCTCGGACTCTGCAACAGTTTCCAACGGAGTCTCCAGCGGTCCGTAACCCACCCGTCGCCGTTGAAGTATTCTTGGAGGGCTGTGAAAAATGGACTGCCGGAACTTGGGTCTTCTGGTGTGCCATGTGTGCAGCGCCGGCAACATGATACATCATTGCCTGCATGAAATTCGCAGTGGACGCCTGCGGCTATCACCCGATAGGGCATTCCCGATAGGGCATTCACGTGTTTTTTTTATGCATGCATTTGTCTTCATGTAGGCTGTGCTGCTGTGTGCTCAGACGCAGCTTGCCACCACCAGGACATGTTGGACCTCTCTCATCTCACGCTTAAGCCCGGGGCACCGGTATGCAAGTGACAAGTCATCACCAGCGTAGGACTCTCAGCCTTCAGACGTCAGGTGCTTGAACCTGGGAGCGAAGCTCACTGTGATGTCCCACTTCCTGGGCTGCTTCTGGATCGCTTGGCATGCTTAAGCACCGTGCACGATATTATGAATGGCTCTTTGCAGCCCGTCTGTTTGTGATTGACCTTTGGCGCCCCAGCAGCGCAAATAAGCCTACAACCTCCCTGCCCACCCCCCGAAATCTCCAAGTCCCTCCAAGCCCGACCAAACTGTTGTGGGGTTTGGGATCAGGTGTTGCAAGGTTTTTGTCTGAAACACATGTGAACCCACAATACGGGGGGCTTAAGCTTTTGGGGGTTGAGGGGCGTCACTTGGGAGCGACCAAGATCACATATCAGATGGTCAGACGTCGCGACAGAGTATCATTGACCTGACCCCTACCTCATTGCCAGGTTCTTCGTTTCGACCCACACTCTCTCCTCGATCGACCAGTGTGAATCTGGCTTGCTTGGTTGCAACGCGACACTGCCTAGTTCTCAGTTGCATATCAGCTGCATTTGCATACAGTTGTTATGCATGGCAGAAAGCCTAAACGTTGACGATTCTGTATCCACTCAACACAGGCCATCAACAACATGGTGGTCGGAGATCAACATCGGGCCGGAGGACAAGTTTGACCAGCAACCTCCCACATCTTCCGCACCTGTGCATGCAATCCTGGTCGTCTGCTGCAGAGAGGTACATCGCATCTCTGTACTGGGCCTTCACCACGATGACAACCGTAGGCCAGTCAAAAAGTCTGGTCGCAGGGCTAGGAACAAGGAGCAAATAAGACACGCATTGTGTCGTAAGCGCGCATGACGGCACGCAATGCAGAGTTTCCGCAAGCAAATGCACTTCAATGCCGGTAAGCTGCAGAGCACGAGCGAACGCGAACAGTTTTCCAGCAATCGCCCGCAACAGGATCCCAATGCGATAGGAAACCTCATGGCGCCAGATCAATGTAAAGCTGCAGTTTTCGGATTTTAAATCATGGTTATCTACGATGTTCTGGGGAGCGCTCCGAGACAGCTCTGCCTTGAAAAATGTCGAACCGGCTATTGGCACCTCGAGTCAAGAATGCTTGTCACATCTTGTCACACACATCCAGTAGGTCGACCTTCGCTTCTCGAAATCAATGCAGCAACGGAGGCTATGGCGATATTCACCCGAGAAATGATGGAGAAAGAGCCATCGGCTTGATTTGTCCCGGGATTTCATCTGCATGGGTCAGAAGTTGTAACGTCATCGACGGCAACGGACGGTGCGTGATGCTGTGATGCTGTGAATGGTTTGAGGTCTACGCCATCGTCGCCATGATCTTCGGGGCCACGATGTTCGGTTCTGCCCTCATGCGTGAGGCACTCAGCGTGAAGACATTCCAATGATCTTCGAGGCTACATAATCGGCTCTATCGCCGCCCTGGCCGGACAGGAACGTGGCATGGAGGCCTTGCAATGGAGAGTTGGCGAGACAGCGAGCATTGGCTTCCTTTCCCCTGCAGGCGCTCACAAAGAAGCGACTCTCTCTGGTCCGGCATTTCTGTGAAGAACAGCGTGTCAGCCAGAACAAGGCGGCCGAGATCTGCCATACCTGCCATGTGCCATCCCGAATCCGAGAGATGGACAGAGATTCTGTTCGAGCGGAGGTCAAGGAGGTGATGCGGCACTACCAGCGCTACCGGCATTTAGCATAAACATGGTGCCAAACTGTGGTATTCCTTGAATGGGCCAGGTTCTTCTACCAAGAGCGTTCGCCTTTCAACGAGACTCAGTTGATGCTGGAGCTGCCGAACTGGCTGAGGAAGAAGGCGCGCCACAATCCAAGCACTTGAGCTTGCTCAGATCTGGCTTCTGGCTCGTTGTGCTTGTACTAAGTGCTTGTCAGGTGTCAGCGTACATACACCGCGAGGCTATTTCTCGAATCGGCCTGTTTGCAGGCGCTTGGGCCGCTTTGGTAACATGTAAGCAATGTAAGCATTTTTCTATAGGCCGTTGCATGCTGCTGCGAGGTCCACAGCAAACAGGGCTTGAAAGTGGTCCCTTGCCAGACTGGTTTTTGGCTCAGACCCAGGAATGACCAGCCTCTTTTTGGTGCTCGCCAGCATGTTCGAGCATGTTCGAGCATGAGCATGTAAATCATGTACACATATGTACACGATCTCAGACTTTCAGAGGTTCATTTCTTGGACAATGCGGATTCTCGAGCCCCAGGCATCATGGCAGTGCGACATGTGCATTTTTTGTGCTTTCTCCTGCGTCTGTCGAGGCTGTTTGTGCTGGCGAGCTTGTCATCAATGCAGAGGAGAGCTCTGTGGCCTGCTGCTGAGCTTCGTGATGTATTGTGATGTATTGTGATGCATCGGATGCATCGTGACTCCCGGCATTCCTGTCTGTACTCGTAGCTGTGACAGGAAGGCCCGAATACAACAGGGAGCTGAAACGGCAAGTTGACATCCAATCTCTGAATTCACAGGTGGATGCATATGCATCATGGAGTTGATAGTGTAACTTGGGAGAGGGACAGGAAGTGGCCGCTCACCCTATGGAATCCTTAATGGGCTCGTTGGGCCAAGGCGAGCGAAGAAATACATGGTGGTCCAAGAGCGAGGTCGCAACAAATTTTATGCAACAAAGGCACGAAACAGGCCCCAAAACCGAAATCCCCGAGCAACTGGCACATCATGACGAGAACACGCTGTACATGTACAGCGCCGCACCTCGCCAGTTCAAATCAGGTCAGCTTAGATCAGATTAGACTGTGCGACAGCACTGCAACACCGCTCAGATATGCTCAGGTGAGATAACATCAGATCCGGCCGGTTAGGTCAAATCGGATCGACAGTATTTCTCGTGTGGGCTCTGGAGCCATCGCGGCTTAAGCATGCGCGGAGCCAGAAGGACTCAGGCTTGTGTTGATTAGGGACCCGAGAGATTTGTTTAGGTTTTTGGCGCTTGTTTCTGACTGCGATCCCCAAAGGTGACGGCATTTGCGAGGATGGCAATAACCCAGGAACACTATCCCTGTAACTTGAAGCAACATGACTGCTAAACGATGCGAATACGCAGGATTCCGTTACTACATACTGCCCCCGCATGCTACGCACGAACGCTTACGGATGCTTGCGGGCGCTTGCGAACACTTTCAGAGCGGTTTTTGTTCTGCCACTCAGATCCCAACTCTTTAATTTAAATGGGAGCCCTGCTGCTACGCACTCCGAAAAAATAAGCAATAACCTCCGCCTCAGTTGACTAGAAATTTGTGGAAGGCAGGCAGGAGTCGTGGAACATGTCGTGCTCAACAGCGTCCATGTCTCCGCTGCTTGCGGCAGCGTGCCTACACGCTTGGGATGTCGGGTCGGCGTCGATTCGGTCGCTACAATCAAGATACCCTCAAACTCGTAGGCTTGTTGCCATAATCAGAGTTTTTGCAAAATTGGGCTGCAGTCTGAGGTTAGGCTTAGGTTTCCTTGTACTATTTCTCTTTTTCAATATGAACTGTGAATGTTTCGCACAACGTGTCCAAGGTCATTTATTTACAGGTCTTACATCTGGAGCGGAAGACTCGAAGAGAAAAACAACACAGACAGCACAACATTTATTGACGTCGATCATCCGCACTCTGCAGCCACCTGATGTGGGAGCCGTCCTGCCGCTTTCAGACAAACAGTTACGGAAGCTTCGCCCCAGGTGCAGGAGCTTTTCTTTGTCTTCGACGGGGAGTGCGAGGCCGGTCACCAGTGGAGAGGAGTAAACGACAATAATCGACATTGTCGCTGGCGCATCTGGAACGGAGCCCATTGATGTGGAGTTTGGAAGCATGATTGCACGCGACATGGGTGACGTCTTGCAAAGACACATAATAACCAACAAGCATGAATCACCCAGCACGTGCTTGTGACGGAACCCTTGCACAGGCGCCACTGAGCTGGTTACTGCTTTCTGGGCAGGTCATGGAGTCGTTTATGTTGTTCTTTCTGGTTAAAACAGAATTCTGCTCCTGCTGGCAGGTGTTTTCAAACATGTCAGCGCAGCAGCTTCGATGTTGACTTCCCCCCCCGCCCCCCCACATGTTTCCCACCATGTCTCACCACTCCCAGAGCCTCATGATTTCCAGTGTTTTTTTTCTTGTGTTCATGTCCCAAATCGTCGCGTTCCCGCACCAGTGGGCAAGCGCAAGGGCACGGAGATGGGGGAAGACAGGGAAAGAAACGAAGAGAGGACAGTGTGCGGACAACGTGATGACATGCATAACATCTTGGCTCATAAAAAGAGACAACGCTAGTTTGAACTCAGCTATGACAGAATCGGAATCAACTTCGCCTTGGACTTGTCATGACCCTAATGTGACAAGGAGTATCTCCAGCAAGGCATGAAGGTCATGGTCACCGCTTCGTCGTTTGTTAAACTTGCTTCTTTGTGCAGGCCTTCTATCATCGCAATGTGTGGAGGCAAAGGCCAAATGGCGGTCATTCGGATACCGGAGGTGCGCCATTCAGGATGCTCATCGCAGCCAGCAGCTACTGTAGTAGTTAACGTGCTTTGCTTGCAGCAGTTGACCAGCATCCAAAGCATGGCAAGTTTAGGTTGGGATTTCCTTGTTCCCAAACTAAGCTGCATGTCCAGCCCCTTCCCCTTGCATCTTTCAGTCCCCTTGCTCTGATTCCTTCTCCATCTCAGCAGAAAGCGACCAATTGCAATCAAGCGCGCGAGAGTTCAAGCTGCGCTATGCAGCTCGAGACATCTTTGAAGCCAAATGAGGGTTTAGGTGCTGGTTTGGGCATAGTGCTATGACGACACTGTTAGGTTTGAGGACAGCGGCCATTGAAGCGACACTCAGGAAGTGCATGTATGGTTTCTTGGACTCCGCATGTAAAGACCACTTCAGCAACAGTTATCGCAGTTCACCTCTACGTGGTTTACAAGCGCAGGGGTGCATCAGTAGGACGCAGCCTGTTGAGACAGACGGACCGTGTGCTGTGCTACACGCCCACATGGACGAGCTGAGCCCTCTTTGATGGATGGGTCTCGGAGCTCGCCTTCGTGGTTTCCACTACGTTTTCTGCTGGGCGGGATCATGCCATGTTCAGCAGACAGCCAACACTCTTGTTGCAGCTTGGCTTCCTTAGGGGCAGTCAGAGCAGAGGTGCTCGAAACGCTTGCAGCCACTTGCACCAAGGCCGTCGCGCGCAAGACGCATGTGTTCGAGCACTCGAGCTTCTGGCTCCCTGCTCTGCTCGTTGTTGATATCTTATGTTTCTTTTTGACCAGTACTCATGGAGATCATCTAGTTTCCATACCTGTTTGATTCTTTGATGGCGAGCTGGTAACCTGGTAGCTAAGCTGGTTACTTCCAAAAAGTCAAGGCCACAACATGCTTTGTTGTGGGAAGTCTCGTCAGGCCACAGACATTCCTGCCTTGGAAGAGCCTACTCGACGTTGCTGTCGCCGAGAGCAAGGAGGCGAAGCCGGCGAAGCTCCTCGACGCCTGCTGGGTAGCTCGGCTTGAGCCACTTGCAGAGCGCCACTTTGAGAGACAAGATAGAGACCAGTCCTGCTGAAAAGGTGATTTCTTAATCCAATTCTCTGGCCGCCTCTCCGAAGCCCAGTGCGTGCCCGAGTTGTTAACACCTTCAGAAGCCTGAGGCTGCCCAAGGCAACTGTTGGTGTTGGTATGTGTTGGAAGTGTGATGTGTTATATCTTCAGAGTTGTACTTGGAAATTGACAATTATTGAGGTTGCAGGCGATCGATGAAGTGTACGCAGCAGAGGCGCTAAGCAGGCCCACTCCACTGCATTTGGATTCATTGGAAGGACTTTGGCTTGCAGCTGCACCGTGCCGCTCTGATTTGAATACGGTGATTCCTTTTTGAAGCCTGGACCTAGACCATCCTAGACCCTAAACATCGCCCATGTCTTGCGATTTCGTGAAGGTGTGTTCCACGGATTTCCACGCACTGTGTTGCTGACGGTTGATATCCAAAAAACGGGCATGTTTCAGCAGCCTTACCTCAAAAAACACGGTGCCCAGTGTGTGCCACCACCGCCATCCTCAAAATTGCCGCATTGCGTGATCCTTGTATCCCAGAAGTTGCAACAGTCACGCGTCCGCCTGTCATCGCCATCCGCAAGTCTCGTTTTTGTTAGACACTCGCATCTCACTGCGCATGTCTACGCATGTCACCTGCTCTCATGCTGCTGCTGATGATGGTGATGAAAATGAAGATGAGTAATAATCATAAGAGCAGTCATCATACCAAGATGATGATGATGATGATGATGAAGAAGGCGATGATGGAAATGTTGGTGATGATGCTGATGATGGTTAGCATGATTGGTGATGGGGATGTTGATGTTGGTGATGATGATGATGATGGCTGTGATGATGGTGATGTTGGTGATGATGGTGATTGATGGTGGTGACGTTCAATTTATGGAGTGTTTATTAGGTTCAGACAGTGCACTGGAAACTGTCTGAGATTAACTTAGGCTGCCCCAGAGTATCATAGAAACACAGACAACATGGTGAGGACCGATTTGCACACCTCCACATGTACTAGCTTTGGTTAGACCAGCTGCTCAACTAGATGAGCAGTACTTGGGTTGCGTGGCTACGAGTAAGTTGGCATGCCACAGGTGCTCACGGGTTTAAGTTGTGAGAAGCATCCGCGCATACCGTATGCAAATGGTGGTATGTATCCAAGGTAAAGTGCTGGTTTGGCGTGGAGACATTACCCAACTGGCAGCGGATGCAATCGTGAACGCTGCCAACGAGGCACACGGCCTTGCACCGTTGCAGGACCCTCAATGGCTGCATACTATCAATTGCTAGCATGCTGCATGGCATGGGCAGGAGGGCTTGGGCTGCTTTCAACCCACCCACCGTTGCCTCTCAGCCATGAGCCGATGACGTCCTCCGCGTTGTGTGCGGTTTTCCTCGTCGTTTTTCTCTTCTTGCTTCTTGACTTCTTGTTAGCTTTCTTTTGTGGGTCGTTCTCAAGGCATCGACAACGTGCTGCACCGCGCGGCGGGCCCTAGGCTGCGAAGCGAGTGCAGGAAGTGCATGGAGCAGCGACAGGGAAAGCTCTTGCCTGGCACGTGCTCCGGCAGAGAGCAGCAGGGAGAGCAGAAAGGCTTTTGCTTTGTTCGATATGTTCACAGTTTGAAGCGTGATGGACGTGTGATTGACAAATCGAAGCGTGATTGAAGACAATTGAAGATGTCGAGGATGCCGCTGCTGACGAAAGCGTACCACTTGCCGGCAAAGGCGGTGCTGCACATTACAGGTCCTCAGGTTTCACCTGGAACGAGCCTCAGAGCGCTTTCGAAGCTCAGAAGTTGAAATTCACACAAACTCAGAAAGAAGTTGGACATGTACCAATTGAGTTGGTGATTCCGCTTCCATGGCTCGACTGAACATTGCCGATAGACCGAGGTTCCCGTCCTTCCAGCCTCTCAAGCGAACAGCTTCGACTGGCCTACACAAACTGTCTGGATGCAGTCCGGGATGCCGGGCTTAGCAGCGCCGCTCGGAAGTTGTATCTGGCATGCGCTTGCATACTCTTGTCCTCTGCGAAGTGGCATGCAGGGCAGTCAATGGCAGTCATATCATGTTGCAGCACTCTTGCAGTATGTATTGGAGCGCGTTGGAGGTTGCATTTTGCTGTATTTCCACTGGCCTCTTTGGGTACCCTGCCCGCGAAGCTGCAGAAGTAGCACTCACAGCTGTGCACAGGCCTGCATAGTGCAGCGGACTCCGCATGATAGGACAACAGGCGCTGTTCAACAAGTGCCCAAAAAGGTGGCTGCAGGATCCCGACAACATGGCCTCCATCTCCACCATTGTCTTCGATGCCACGCGGGTGCAACGAAGCTTGCAGGAGGTTTGTGTGCCATCTGTGCTTTCAAAGCTCCGCCTCTCTCCAACAGGGCACCAAGGCACCAATGCATGCCAATGTGAATAGAATTAAGATGAATGAAGTAGCTTGAGAGTGCTCTCCCAAGGTCTTCACCGAGCATGACGCCTCTTGCCTCTGTTTGTAGTTTATAGTTTTTATACAGTTTCAACAGTCATTCGCAGTACACCCGCACAATCTCAGGAGCAGCTCTATCGGGATCTTGGCCCACAAATCTTTCAACCTGTCAGCCGCCCCATCTGATCCATCCGAGCTAATGTGATTATGGCATAACCTTTGCAGTTAGGAAGTGCCAAAACTGATGTCGACAAGCAGCTGCAAAGCCGGCCAAAGTGCACCATCATCTGTGGTCACATGAAAAAGGCCGATTCGGTTCGGCAGGTTCTGGCAGGCGCACACAGTGCGCATGCTGATGTTTGGGCTGTGGGCTTGCTGAACTCTGCAGGTGCATTCGGCTCTGTTCAGGATCTGTAGCTGCCACGGGCCAAGGGCTCGTTCCCATGTCTAGTATCGCCAGAGGTGAGGAGGGTCCCGCAGAAGAGGTGCATCAACACACCAGAGGCTGAATGGGCATATTGGTGCAGCAGAAGAAGGTCCACTCGATGTAGAGAACCGACAGCCGGAAGAGGCACTCATGGAGGTGCACTTTGTCGGAGAGCAGATGAAAGGTCGACTTGAGAAGATCCGCAGGGCGAGTAGGCAAAGATAGGCAAAGAGTGGAGAGCAGCAGCAGAGGCCGCTCTCGCAAGTCGCGTCCCCCCAAGAAGAATCAGATGAAGAAGCCGCTTTTGGTGGACAAAATGCACGTGCTTCGCCCTTGCCTTCATTGCCAACATGAACCTTGCCTTCCAGAAATGAAAGATGACAGAACCTGTCTTGCCTTTCTACCTGACGACGGGGAGGATTCAAGCTACGAATCAAGCACGTGTTACTGGAAATGCCAGGAGGCATGAAGATGTTGATAAAACAGGAGTACCGTTCAAGCTGCCACGTCAGCGGCAGCTCGAAAGCTCCTCTGCTTTCCAGATTGTCGTCGTCGATGTTTCTGCCTCATGAATTTGACGGAATTCACGACGGTGAGTTATCATGAAATCTTCTCTCAGCCCTCCAGGATGCGGAAAGCAGATTGGGGGTATGCATCTTCCCGAGAGAAAAGAACGCCTCAAGTGCACACCTGCCTTCGAGAGTACACAGTGCTGGCCACGAAGGTCCATTCACGCCCCAGGGTTTGCAGTGCTAGGGACCTCTAGGAACACTTGCGTCCGCCAGAGTCCTGACAGTGCTGCCTTTGACAGCAGAACCCGACAGGTAGCGCGGACAACCCAGATCTGTCAGAGGCAGGTGCTCCAAGTGCGATCTTGCTACAGTTTACAGCGCGCAGGTGCATCAGGCTTTCAGGGCTACTAGCAGCAGAGATGCAACTGTCGTGGTGCTGTTTCGGAGTCCAGGTTCAAACGCAGGCTGCCAACATGGCAGGCATGGTGTGAGAGAAGTATGCTGGTGCGAGAGTGAGAGTGAGAGTTGGAGAGAGAGAGAGAGAGAGAGAGAGAGAGAGAAACAAAAGAACGAAAACAAGAAGAGAGGGGGGGGGGGGCTGTTCAGCGTGCAGAACAGGAAGGAGAGAGAAAGAGAGAGAGCAAGGGAGAGAGAAAGAGAGAGAGAGAGAGAGAGAGAGAAAGAGAGAGAGAAAGATAGAGAGAAAGAGAGAGCGAGAGAGAGAGAGAGAGAGAGAGAAAGAGAGAGAGAAAGAGAGAGAGAAAGAGAGAGAGAAAGAGAGAGAGAAAGAGAGAGAGAGGATCGTCGGACTTGGCGCGATTCTGGGGGCGGCCTTCCCTTCGGGGGGGGCTATGTATGCAGAGAGACAGAGAGAGAGAGAGAGAGAGAGAGAGAGAGAGAGACACAGAGAGAGAGAGAGAGAGAGAGAGAGCGAGAGAAACAGCATGGTGGGGCTGAGCATCATTCCTGTTGCCCCCATCTCGCTGCCGTTCGTGTTCAGACATTAGCTGGCAGGTGTCAAGGTCAAGACGCTTCTGGTGGGCTCGCACGTTCTTACTGGATTCAGGGATGCATTGGGGGGCACATCAGGTCTTAGGATGAATGATGAAGGATGATGATGAAGGTTTTTATTCAACCCCGCCCCTCTCCCCTTGCGAGGTGCGGAAAAGAATAAATGAATGAATGCATGTCAACCTTCAATTTCGATTTCGTCTTAAAGTCGCTCGGTTCATCGGCAGAGCTTGGGCCTAGTTGCCAATGTAAGAGTTGTCTGCTGATAGCTTGATCGCTTCTCATGTGTATCACACGCTCCTTTGTATTTCGCAGACCCTTGAAAACTTGAAGACACTTTCTAGTATTTCATAGGAAGGCGGCCTTAGACACATTAGGGAAGCCACGATGTTGTGTCGGTTTGTGAAAGAATTCTGAAAGATACCTCAGCATTTGTGAATTTTTGAGGGGGTGGCCTGTTTTTTTTAGTACTTTTTTTTGGCGCATTATTTACATGGTCCCCTGGTCCCCTAATCCCTGTCCCTGGTCCTGGCGCCCTTTCACCGGTCCTCCTGGCCCTGAGCATGCAGTATGTGGAGATGACGCCTCCAGGCCGTCCCACAGGGGCGTGGTTTAAGGGGGGTCACACAAGGCTCAATGAGTTTTCAGGGGGGGGGGGGGGGGGGGCGCACAGGGCGGGGGGTTGGGTTCGGGCGAATGAGACCGGATCCGGGTCTGCTTGTTCCAGATGCTTCTCGGCAGGAAGCCGAGGCGAATTTCTGATCAAATTCACGAGAAATCCGGGTTTTCGTGTGAAACTCTTATGAAATTGAAGAGAAATGTAGACTTGCCTCTTAAACTTTCATGAAATTCCAGACAAATCTAGGTGTTCCAAGGAAGCATAAACAAATTCTCCGCCCTTTTGAAGCTCGGGGGTGACTGCCTTGATGTTCTCAGATGTCTCCGCAGCTACCGCGCTGCGTTGTCTCAGCCTCTCCGCTCGCTGGTGCTGGGGAACTTCGGACCTGCGACAGGGGCTCTTCATGCTTTCTTCCAGGAACTTCTAAGATTCTAAGCCTGCTTTGTCGCAATGTGTCGCGCAGTGTGTCGCAGTTTTCTTGCCAGGTCTTCTCGCCTGGTTGCATGTTCGGCCTGGAGCACGTCGCATCGCAGAACCAAAGGCTCACTTCGGCAAGTCGTGAAGATTGTCGAAGCAATTTTTGGCAGCACTGGGGCAGCAATTTCTATTCGACTTTTCATTCGCCACTGCTGTGAATCAAGAGGCATTCCGTCCGCTGCAGCAAAGCGGGACCATGCTTGCTTTACGCCCATGTCTCAGGCCTTGACAGGACGCTGTGTAGGAGCGTAGTAGCGTAGTAGCTGCTGTCGCACGACTGTTTACCAAGCGAAACAACAGAAACCGGAGGCTTCATGCTCGCACCAACCAGTACTCGTCGGATTTTGTTGTGAAACGTGGCCCACGTTTGTCCGCACGGAATGCTAGCAAGGTCCTTCGGCAATCAACGATGGCGGAGGCAAGTGCCGGAGTTCACATTTGGTCGAAAGCCAAGCAGCAAAGCAGAGGTGCAGGTCTCCAGCCCAGAGATGGTCCGCGCGCTTCAGAAGGCCTCTACCCCAGCCGACCGGCCAGCTACCATGAATTTGCCATGAAACTGCCATTACATTCGCCATGCAACTGCCATGATGCAACTGCCAAGCTACTGTCACGCAACTGCCATGCAACTGCCATGTACGGGCTACCCTAAGAATCATTTAGGTCCTTAGTCATTGTTCAGCAACCACTTTGCTCCCTCATGTTGGAATGTTGCGGGGGGTAGGGGGGTTGTCAGGAGGCCCTCATTCCGCCAACAATATCGCTCCACTTCATCTTGAAACGCAGACGCTTCCCTGGCCCATGTACGTTGAGGTTCTGCTGGCGGCTGATTTTTCAGGCGTTCATGACTGCATGCAAGAGGCTACACTGCACGAACGGATAAGCATGTCCATTCGCCGTCCTAGACACGAAATCACGTCACAAAAACAGTCCTGCAAACAAGTTCTCTCATTGGTCTCCACTCATCGGGGGAGCGTCCGTTCTGACGCCTCAGCAAGAACGACTCCTTGGAATGGGTGTTTTGGGAAACCAGGGGAGCCTTTTTTTTGAGACTAGGAGGCTCACGAATGTAAACGCAAGAACATCCTTCGGCCAGCAGACGCACGCCGAACCTGTCAGATGCGGCCAATCATTCCAATCGTAAAAATGATTCCGGCAGGTCGTCGACGTCCCCAGATCATTGAATTCCGTGCACCCCCCCTCTTTTTCTGGACCCCACCAGAAGGATGCCAAGACTGCCCTACAACTGCCCAGAACTGCGACGCAACTGCCATGTAACTGCCATGTTAAGTTTGACCATGTTTGACCTGGGAGGCTATCACAAACCTCATGGTCACACAGACGTGCGCCAGACCAGATGCTTCCGTTCTTGCTTGGGTCGCACCATCCGTGACGCCCAGCATCTTCCTGTCCAGGAAACTACGCGTTCCTCAGAAGAACTTGGACCGATGCGGGCTTTGAACCGGTGCAGCCGGTCAGTGTAACGAAGTCGAGCCCGAGACACCTTTGCTTTTTGGTTTGCATGCTCTGTGCAGATGGTCTTGCAGGACCTGCGTCGCCAAACGTTCCAGCGCTGAAGCAGCTCGACTTTGTACGGCAGTGCCAGCCAGTCTGGGCTAGTGCTTGATCTGCACCAGTTGCTAATGCTAATGAACATTGGCTCGTTGGCTGTTCCCGGAGGCCAGTCTAGAGCGTTTCAGCTCGGCTGCCTGAAAACTATGTTGGTTCCTATTCAGTGCCTATGAAGGCACAAGCACGCTTGCAGAGCCTAATAGAATTTAGTACCTCGGCTATGCCACTGCCGCAGCTATATGGGGGTGTCGGGACAGCAAGGCCAGTCTCACTCCGACAGCATTGGATACTCTTGTGCACAAAGTGCCAAGTGTTCATTGCTTTTCACCATCGAAAAGCTTGAGCGGCAGTCGTGCAGCTCAGTCGAGGGATCTGCAGGCATGTGTTTGCTCGCAACACATTGCCGGCCTCAGTGCCCTGTGTGATGGGCCGCGCGAAGTTCTTCACCGAGCATTTCTCGACACTGGTGGCTCGAGGATCATGAAGGTTGAGAGACCATGTGGCCCCTTCTGACGGCCTGGTGCTGAGCCCCGGAGCCCTCTCAGGTTGCCCAACGCTTGTCAGAACCTGGATTTGGCAGCTGAGGCGATACCAAACCCAGCATCTGCGTCAGTGTACTGTGGCGGGGACGGAAAATAAGATGGAAGCCTTGTGAGTAGCTGATTAATGTGCAAGACACAGTGTCCATGTCAAGAACCAGGCTCCGAGAATTTTGCGCATTTTGCGCTTGAGGTAACCCCGTTGACTAGTTGAATGCGGTGCCGAATCAACTGCATCGTCTTTGCTCTACTTACCAACTTGCCAGGCCAGTTAGCCCGCATCCACACGGACACAGATGCCAAGTGCAACGCCTGTGAACGTGGGCTGGTCAGGAGTTTCGAGCTTCGGAGAATCACAAAAGTTTCTGATCGCATCGTCTCCTCTGAATGGTCGCCCAAGCCTCAGCTTCAAGCATGCTGCTAAGCTAAGTCTTGCCAAGCCGTCAACAAACGTATGCTATCGTATGCTGCTGATTGCCCTGTTACCATAAAATGTTGAGATCCTGAAATGCTGCGCATCGGCTCGTGCCAGATGTTGCCTACTTGAAGCTCCCGGCAGATGGGTCGCCAGCCACAGCAGACGGGCAGGCGGCGGGCGACTGGTTGAGTGTTCCGTGTTGAAAAACAGGGGTGCTGCATGTATGTGTGTGTGTACCGTCCGTCCAAGTCTGCAGGATGATGCAGGTGCAGTTTTTTTTTCTCGCTGTTAGCAGGGGGACGAGGAGGTTGGAGACCCTCCGAAACACACCTGTCCCCCCCGAAGCGTGGCAATATGTTCTTCCCTTCCTTCACATGCACACACACACACACTCGTTCTCCCTGTATCCATCATCTAAGGACTTGCAGAAATCGTGACAAGCTACAAGTATGACACCACTTGCAGTGTGTTTGCCACCAGCTTGCCCCATCAGCTGGTGACGTAAAGTGTCTGCTGGAGCCATGGTTCCCTCGGTGCCGGAAGACAAGCTGTATGCACAATTTTGCGGGATGACAGTAGGGTTGCTCCTGAGGTCGTAGAATCAGGGGGCCAGTGCACCTGTAAAAGCTACACCCGGACAACCGCAGATTCTAGGCTTCTAAAACCAGAAAGTGCCCAAGTTGTACGGAGACTTTTCAGAGACTGTGCTTCTCCTCAACTGCCCATGTTGGGACTCAATTGCTGTCACCGCTGGCTCCTTGTAAACAACCCGTCCATTGCAATTTAGTAAGGGCTGACCACCAGAGTGGTTTAGCTTGTAATGTTGACCTCGCTTTAATAACCCCGTCCCCCCCCTCCCGTCCCCCCGTCTCAATTGATTTTTGTTTCCCCCCTCAATGGGGGGGGGGCAAGGCTGTAAGGCCCGGGCAATCGCTTCAGAAGGGCAATTCTCTATTGGAACCCCTCCCCCCCGCCCAAAAAAGGGGGCCCTCGGCCGGGATTCCTTAATTGAGGGGGGGTTTATAGTTGAGTTCCGGGGTCCGGATTCCTAAATTGCGGGGATGTTTATAAATATGAGGTTAACATGAAGTTTGTAGGGTTCTGGTCGTATGTGCCAGTATGCTCCCAAACCTTGGTGAGGGTCTCGAATAACATACCGGCAACAAGAGCGGCAACTGGTAATTTTTGGTTCCCACAGGGGGTGCCTTTCTTCAGCTAGCTCAAGCCGAATCCACGAGAATGGTCGGCACTGTCCGCGCCGTCCGCGCAGAGCATTTTCCTTCGTTCTATGTGCGTTTTGTTGTCATGGCCCTCGCAGGCGTTTTTGTTCGAAGCGTTCGTTGCTGACAAACCTGCATTTGCATGTAATGCCAGACCCCCTTCCCGCAAGTCGCCCAATTGGTAGCATGTTCTGTGCACGGAGGGAGTGGTTTTGCAGTTGGGATGAGTTGGAGTTGGGCTTGTGCGTGACTATCTCTTAAACCCTTCAAAATCAGAGGAGTGAAGCCGGCGGTTCTCGTATGAAACAGATCTGGAGGGGGAGCAGGGGCCCATCTAAGCATGAAAGCTCAGCTTACAGTTAGCAGCTTTCCAGGCCCCCCTCTTTCCCAAAGAGCACACCCCGTCACCCCGTTCAAAACGAGCGAGGCCTTCCGGACTCTCATCCAGTCAGAGTCACCGGGCCCAGAGCACGTGGCAATGCGTGGCATCCTTGCCAATCCTTGCTCTGAACAAACAAGCAGGAGCTGAACGAATCTACGAAGACTGCTAGGTCTGCTAGGTATTTTCCAGCGACAAGAGCCAGCGGATTGCCAGTGCCAGCTCTTGCTTTCGATTTTTGATGCAAGGTTGGTCTTTCCTCAGGGCCTGGCCGTTGATGATCACAGGTGCCTTTTTAGCACGTGTTGGCACATCTTGGCACCACAAAGAACGGCCTCAAGAAGGCAGCGCTTATATGTGGCAGATCCCAACAAGACTGGGCTTGCCGGTGTCTCAAAGTTCTCAAGCTTGAGGGGTCAAGGGGAAGTGCCAGTACGCAAGCGCAGAGCTATGCCGAGCCAGCCTGATCCAGGTAATGTATCAGCTCTCGTCAAATGGAGACACGTGCAGCTCTTACTTCGGTTCATCCCGTACTCGTCTCACATTTATGTCCTATTCAAAGGCAGAAATCGCTCTCAGGCTTTCGGTTGGAAGTCCGAAGGTGGTGGCAGCAGGTGTTCAGACACGGGCAGGCGGCTTAAATCGATAAGCTCAACGTGGCTCAAAGTGGCTCGAAGTAGCTCAAAGTGGCTCAAAGCTTCGTTTTTCGAGCCGTTTCGAAGCAAGGCCGTTGCTGTGGATGGTCTCGGCAACGTTGTGTTCTCCGACGAGCCAACAAATCGCATTCTTAGAGCTGCGGCCTTTGAAATCCTTGCCTTTCTCCACTTCGTACACCCTGGCTTGTGCATGCTTGTGCATGCTTGTGCATGTTTGTGCATGTTTCCGCGCTCACTTCGCGGCTCAAGGCCTGAGTAGGTGTAGAATGTTGTAGGAATGTTGTAGGTTGCTGTTATTCGCTGTTGCTAATTTTTAATTGGGGCACTCCGAGCTTCGCCCTTGCATGCCCCACGCTGAAGCTTGCCTCGGTGCGTGCAATGACCCGGCCCCATGCTGCTCTGAAACGACTGAAACGACCATTTCGAGTTTAGGCCTGCAGCTTGGAAAGCATTGCTGGAAGCGCTTTTTTCCCCAGACTTGGTTGAGGGCATCTTGCACTCTAGCGATGCGTGAAGGCCTGGAAATTCAGAACTCCTGGCTGCTGCAGTCCACAAAGTATAGTTTTCCCGCAGAGCGGATCATGTAACTTTTAGTTTCATTATGGGACCCCCACCCACCTAAAAATGTAAAATGGGGGAGGGGGCGCAGAATTGTAAACCGCTTTTACTTACAATTATTATACAACTGTCGTCCGAGGAGTGCCGCAAATCAGGGGGGCCCAAATTGTAAATTACAATTTCAGCATGCCCCCCCCCCCCCCAAGGGGTTGGGGGTATTATGGGAAATGGGTGCGCGCTTTTACCCTTGTGCCGAGCACATTGTTGCGTAATTAACATGTGCAAACTGATACGTTGAGTGACGCGCATGTCATTTCAAAGCACTTCAACGGCTTGCTTGCCTGAAGTTTTTCAACGGCTCCCGAAGCATCTCGTCGGCCAGGAAATCAGTCGGCCGTGAAGCGGCAACAACCCAAGGATCGAATTGTGGTTGAGATCGTCAGAACTTGGCTCCCTCGGCTCGGCAAATCACAGTGCCGCCGCACACACAGCTGCTTCGTGTTCCCTCACCAAGACGCGAAGCAATGGGGTGCGACGGGAAAATAGAACCTCATGTACAGGACCATAGAAGCAAGGAAGCCTTAAGTTACGCCAAAACCAAACAAGTCTTTTTCGTGGCGCTGTCTTTGATCCTTGAAAACTATGCTGTTGCAAGCCCCTTGAATGAATAGACGCCTTTGGCATTTTTTTTGCGGCCAGAGCACCCTCAAACTTGTGGAGTCCGATTAAGCAAATCAATCAGGGACGTTTCTGGTGTGTTTTTTTGAGATTGTTCATGGCAACTTGTGTGGGGTGTCTCGTCTGGCCTTTGGATGTTGCCAGAAAACTTGATGCTGATCCAAGGAAAGGAGACCGGGAAGTGCGACGAACTTTGCGGCACGCTTTGCGGGACGCCTGGCCGGCCGTACGCGAGTTCGGCTGGCGAATCAAGCAGCTTTGCGAATTGGACCCTGCTGATGAGCATGTGGGCCACTCGGATGGCAAGTTTGAACAGACTTTTCCCTTCCCCCTCGGTTATTTTCTCCAGGGAGTTGGGGGCCAAGGAAAGGGCTCGCAAGCTTCGCAAGATACCCCTGAAATCATGCAATACCAGAGATCTCATCCGAGCGAACATAGTAGAAATCACATCATAGCGATGCAGGCATGTTGGCCTGGGTTTGGAGTACTCAAAAGCGATGTGCCGGCCGCCATCTTTGAAGAACTCCGGAACGAAGTGTGCAGCAGTTTTCAGCTTGCCTGCCCACACTAGCGCATGGGACCCAGCATTCGACGGTACTGGTTTGTTATCGAAACAAGCAGAATTGCGCAGCTCACTTCCATCTTTTTTCAGCCATGGCACTCACTCTGCAATCTCTGCTTCGCAATGCTCTTAGGAGCTGAGCGATTCTCGTTACCTTCACACAGAATGGAGTACGATCCGTCACGGTTGGTACGGCTACACCTAAAGGTCATTCCGGTAGCACAACAAAGACAACGCGGAGCCACGTTGCGTGTCGTTTCCAGAACAGCCGCTGCAGACCTCGCATTGCCTCGCATTGCCTCGCACAGCCTCGCATTGCCTCGCACTGCCCTGCCTTTCCCGCACCGTTCTCCGCCGAAGACTCGATTTTGGGTTCGGCTGTGGCACTGGGCCTGCGCTTTAGTAATGCTTCCGTTTACTCAGTTTACTCATTGCTCGCAGAGAGTCTTGTAGCTCTCATCTTTGATGGTCTTTGCACATCAGCTTGGTGCATCTTCGAGTTTCCATTTTCGGGTGTATCTTCTCCAACTCCCCGAATCCCTGACCCCCGGCCCCCGGTGCTGCCGCCCTCGGTTGAAAAGTTGGAAGTTGGTAGTTGGAGCCTCGAGTCGCGTTATTCAGTGCTTCGTCTTTCTCCGAGCATGTCAGTGAGTTGGGTTTCGGGGTTCAATGTAGATGTACCTCCTGGGATTCGGCAGTAGAGAGCCTAGCTTCGTGCTAGTACAGGACCGTAGCCCTTCGACTCCACACTCGAACTTGCTCCACAGCAGCTTTTGTGTGGCGCTACAGGGCCCTAGCTTGACAAAGGCTACAACCACGAGGGGACAATCTTCCTGAAGCTGCGAGATCCTCAAAATCCCGTCGAGATGTACCCTTACAGCTTTATCCTGGCCACATTGCTCCACGAGCTTACACACCTCTCCTACGAGGGCCACGGCAAGGCACCCACGATGTCACTAGAAGTGGTAACTTCATGAGCTCACTGAGCCGTCTTTGAGACTTTGAGCTGTCAGACTTCCTCTACTGGGCATCCTAACGCGTGTCGATGAATCTCGAGTTTCGGCGTTGTGCTGCAATGCGCAGGCATTTTACCGACGCTTGGTGCTTGCCTCCATCGCCTGCGGAGCAGACGCTAGCATCCGGCGAGAGGCAGCGGCAAATGCGTGTGGGTGCAATTATGTGCAAGTATGTGCAAGTGCTTGTTCGTTCCCCAAACGCTCCTGAGGAATCTCCTGTGACTCCTGTGTTTGGAGGGATAAACCCCTTCTGCATAGTCAGGTGCATATTCACGTCTGCTCCGAGCTTCTGAACGCAGTATGCGAAAACGATGCTCGCCGGGCAAAGGCCTTGCTTACGGTCTTGCCAGAGGCACCTTGTGAACTGCAAGTGTGAGGTTTCGGTCAAAGACTCGACTTGATGATGATAGGTCGATTCAACGATTGGGTGTAATCCAGCTACTGCAGTACCAACACCAAGGCCAGTAACACCCACTTAAGTGTTTGGTGTACCAATATTCTTCTTTCATATTCATATTTTAGACATTCCTCTTGATCTGCGCCATCATATTGTGCTACTGTACTTCTTGAACAAAGCTGCAGGGAGTTTTTCGTCATTTGGCAATTTGGCAAAGATGTTTCATGGTATGGCGTTGGTGTTGCCGTTTGAGGCACAAGCACATGTTTCCTTTAGTTTGGGTTCAGGGTTTTAGGTCTGGGGTTCAAGTTTGAGTTTGGGGTCGGAGTCTGGGAGTGAAGGGCTTTATGCTTGGCAGCGTGCGTGTCCTGCCAAGGCAGCCAGTTGCAAACCCCTGTATGGAGGGCAAGTGCCACTCGAATATGCAGCGCATCATGGTCGAGTGGCTTTGACGAAGCTCCTCCTGCAGGCGTCATCATGGGCCTGAAAGAGATATCATGTTCAACTGCACTACGTCGTAGATGCCAGGCACGGGCCGATCCCAACGTCTATGGTCAAAAGGCTCGGAGCCGGTAGCATGACACCTGGCATCTTTTTCGCTTGTATCTTTTGGCATAGCTGCAGTTCACGCAGTACTGCTCTGCGCTGTGGAATGATCCCCAAATCAGGGATGCTGCGAGAGTGCTGAGAGTGAGCGGGTAGCACTTGTTTGCTGATCACTTGTGACGCCCTGCCGTATCTTCGGGTTTCGGCAGATTCCATCTTGTCAGGTGGGCATGCCACCTCTGGCGCGTGCAGCTGCACAGGGCAACGTTAAGGTTGGAGTCCCCGCGTTCAAGTGTTGACAGCCACGTAAACTCACACTGGCACACTCGCCCAGACTGTCCGCCTCCTGCTGCAAGCCGGTGCTCGTGGGGCCACGTGGCTTCCGCCCGAATTGCAGCGTGTCAAAACCAGCGAATGCTTCGACAAGGAGGCCTCACGAACAAATTAGCAGGATTCAGCAAGTTAGCAGAGCGGGAAGTGCTTAGGCACGCGGGACAATGCACGGGTTTGGCTGATGGGTTATGCTTTCATACCACTCGCGACATCCTGCGGCTCACACAAGAAGGTTCTTGTACTAAGTTGGAGTTTCATTTATTTGGGCGAGGCTTCTTCAGTCGCTCGGGTACTCACGTGAGCACACTGGAGCGTCTTTTTGTTTTGGTTTTGCTACTGCTGCTTCTGCTGCTTCTGCTTCTTCCTTGTTTATTCTTTTAGTCTGGGCTCTAGCCTCTCTCAGTTAGGGCGCTGTGGGGACGCATAGCTCAACGCATTGTTTTTTGCAAAACGCTTGCTTACGCATGTCGTTGCAAGCAATTGTGGTCATCAGCAGCATTACAGTGCATTGCATACACGTGTCGGTGCGTTAAGTCTGTCTTGACAGGTCAGAGCGTTCTCGCTTCCCGCGTTGTCTAAAGGAGGAGAGAGAAGAAAGCTGGTTCTTGGTGGAGCTGGATCCCTAGCACTCTAGTGCGGTGGCACTTCAGAGACCCGAAGAGTTCGCTGACGAAAGTGACAAAGTATGACAAAAGTATGACAAAGCGCGCGAATGTTCAGCGCTTCTCATCATCAGCGTGCCAGTGTCAAGCCACTTCGGTCAGCTCTGATCCCGTCTCACCGTCTCACCTTTTGAGTCAAAACATTGGATTTGCATGGCTGAGCTTCTGCAAAAGGAAAGGATCATCCAATGTCCAAGCTGAGTCCGGCTCATTCCAGACCTTTTGAAGAACTGTTGGATCTGGAGTCATGTTCTTGCTGCATCTGAGATGTAAGCTGTACGTTTGTCCTGTCGCAGTAAATTGCTGGGCGCGTGTGCGCCACAGAGGTTTCCGCAGCGGGCATAGATGAGGGCAAGACCACTCCGGAGCTTGCAGCCTCAGCCCATAATTGCAATGCTTTATTTGCTTCAAGCTCAGATCGCGAAAAACGGGGAAGAGTTGTGTGACAGTGTGCAAGTTCCGTAACAGTCGGCACTCAGAATCATCTACGATGGCAGCACCGTGTCCCAGTTGAAAGCCCCGGGAGGCCGACCCATTTGAAAGGATTCAGATGCGTAGAATCGCACGGAGTAGCGGCAAGTGCGCATATTCGAGGAGTGGCAATGGACAACTATTTCATCTACTGGTTGAACAAAGCAGGTGCTCCGAAGGTTCCAGCAGAAAAGATGCGCGTAGTAATGAAGGGTTCTGCCGCTGACGCCGACATTGTGACATATGTGTGTGGCCAGCCCTCTCCATCAGGCTGGAACCCTGATAAGAGGCTTGCAATATGCCACAGTTCCAAGCTCAGCGTTGCAGATTCAATGCGGGGCATTACTGTACGCTCACAGCTGTGAGAACAAAACCAGCAAAGAAATCAGTGAAGGCGAAGACCATTAGCAATGCTTCGGCCGGTGTCAAGGCTCATTGACAAACATTAGCTTTCTACCTGCTGCATCCGCTGCATCCGCTCTGCATGTTTCTTGTAGTCTTCTATCGTAGTCTTCTGTGCTGTCTGCCAGTTTGCCTGGATGTCATTGGACCGTTGCCTGACAGTTCCTGGCTGACAACGCTCCCAAGTGCTATGGCGTTTGCATCGCAGCAGGTGCCGTGGCCGCTGTTTGTTGATGTTGTTGTGAGTCAGGGTTTCAAGACGACAGCAGGTCGCCCTCCAACAAAATGTCAAAGGGAGGGTGGGCTCTTCTCCTTCTCCAGTCTAAGCATATACGGTTCCCATGGCAGCAATCACACACGTGGTGTCGCCTTCCAAACCTTTCACCACCTTGGTCGGGGTGTGCGAATGCGCAGTGCCTCGGCACATATATACCCTCTAGAATAACGAAAGGAAAAGTAAGGAAGGAATGAAGACGAGAGAGAGAGAGAGAGAGAGAGAGAGAGAGAGAGAGGAAGGAGAAAGAAGACGGGGAGTTTGCATCCGGATCAACAGTTCGGCATGGGGACAGCCAAGAGACGGGGCACAATGAGACATGTGAATCCGACGAGGGTCCACAGCTACGGGCTACATGAGACCGTGGTGGGGCGTGATGTGCTGGAAGAAGAGCCAGATTCCGCTGGGGGCCGCGCTTCTTGAAATATGTGGGGTTTTTCAGTGCGGGGCTCACCTGAAGACATGACCTGGTTGGCCGGTGAGGCTGGGCTGTTTCGCTGGCCCTCAAGCGAGCAGACGAAGAGTTTGCATGAGGTTGTGTGAGGTGACAGGGATGGGGTTTAAGGAAGGGTGTCCGTGCCCCACCGGATAGCTCGCCAAACTTCGAGCAGGAGTCAACAACAGGGGGTTCATTGGGTCCCGGGCGTTTCTCACGGGCAGAGATGGGCCGAGATGGGGCTCTCACGCTCGTGCATAACTTTCTGTGAACGCGTGGCAATGTCAGACCCCTCAATAGCTTGCTTCAGTATCGGTGGGAGTTCAGGAATCGTTAGGATTTTGATCTCCCGCTCGCCCGCCCTGAGGGTGAGGTGGATGCGAGGACCAATTGGTGGGTGTCAGGTGGCCGGATGTAGAAGCAGGACGTGGCCCAGTGCCCCACCTCCAGCTACTAGCCCGCTGTCGAAGGAATATTGTCGTCCATGGGCAGTACTTCCGATCTGCCAGGTCTTCGGCTGGTAGGTTTGGGGGTGAAGTTGATGGAATTTTCAGCTGCAAGAAGCACAAGTGGTTGGATCTCTTTGAAGTCGCTTCCTTGCTACAGGCATCCTGTTTTCTCACGGAGGTTGAGGGAGTCAGAGTTGTAAGCTTCCGTGCTATTGCCGATGGCAGGCGTGTCGTTCTTCGAATCCAGAAGGTGCCACGTGCCAGAATTCAAGCGCGCGCTTCGGAAACTACACGCGTGATTTGTAGCGGTTTCGTACGTCCCAAGACATGACGACGAAGCCTACCCAGTGATCTTGCCTTATCGTTGTCAACGCTGACAATGACCAGGAGACCCCATGTGATTTGCGAGGCTTTTGTGTATGTTCCATGCGGACAAGACTCTGCGTGGACAAGACCATGCGAGCACAGTTTCGTACATTCCACACGGACAAACCATGTGATTCCAAGTCTTTGAAAATTCGAGCCCCCACCTGCCGGACGTCCTCCGCGCCCTACCAACTTGCACTGGTTTCGTACTCCAAGTGAGTGGTTTCGGGGTTTCGGCGGTTTCGGTATGGCGGCATCCCGCGTTCTGTCCGCACCGGCCCGATCCGAAACGGGCTTCAGGCCTAGCTTCCATCTGCGCTTATTTTCACTCAATTCATCTCAATTCATCTCAATTCTGATTTCCTTCTAGCGCGCCCATGGACGTTCTGTTCTGTTCTGATGATGCAAGATCGTTTTCAAGATGTACGAATCGTAAAATGTCGCAAATCAAAGCGCGTTTCAAAGTCGGGGTCGCGCTTAGGGTTCGGGTGGGGAGGGGGAGGTTATGCAGGAATACGTCACAAATTCGGGCGATGGGGAAGTTTTGTTGTCGTGTCTTGGGCCGTGGGACAAGGTTGCAGATAGTACGGGGAGGTTTGGTTATCGATGGTGTCTTGGAACGTGCCAATCACATGGAGAAGTTTCAATTTTGCAACTTGGAACGTGCGACAATGTCGCAAACAATGTGGGGTGGCATGTCACTCTCTTTGGATCTTCCCGTTTTGCCATTCGTTTGGGCTCGAACTTGTTGGTTTTGGCTTGGGTGTGGTGTGGTGTGTTGGGTTTTCCGCTTGTTGGCAGTGGGGTGTGCGCACAGGCTCGCTGGTCTGTATAGTTTGCAGGTCGGTGGAGCTCAGGGTTTTTTTCCCAAACGAGGTTTTTCCCTGAGCTTGCTTGCTTGAGTCTTGCGGCACAAGTCCACGAAGACGTGTAGTTCTGATGACAGCTGTCTTGATACAGTACCTTTGGCGAACTTTAAAAAGGATTGTGGCCTACCTGCCGTCATGTGCCGTCTAGACTTTCAAGGAGAAGCATGCACGCTGAAAAAAACGATCAGCCTCACGAGACTGTCCAAGCCCCCCAAAACCCCGAGAAGACATACGAAGACCTTGGATCAAACTTGGGCATACTTGGGCTACACAATGGAGAATAGTGTGTCAACCCAACACCTCCTCTCAACCTTTTCTTCAACCCTCAACCCTACGTTCCCAGCTCCAGTTCTCAACTTGCTAGGGTTCAGGGCTCGGGTGGTGAGGGCTCAGGGTACAGGAGTGACAAGACTCAAACTGAAATCAGCCCCAGCCCGAGGCCACCCTGGTTGTCTTAATGTTGTGCTGCTGAGACCCCTAAGTTGAAGGAACCCTGGATTTCGGCCGTAGATCCCACGATTCAAGCCCAAGCTGCAGGTACCTCGCCTGAGTTTCTTAGTTTCCTACCCCAACAACAAGGAAATCGGCCCCAAATCTCAGGGTACCCTGGATTTCTTATCTTGGTACAGCGCCTTTTTTTTGCTCCTTTGGGTGTCAGCTCTCTCGTTTTTGTTCGACACATATTCTCTTATTCGGTGCTGTCACTGTACTTGGGACAGCAGTTACTGGAGTGAATTCATGTCACTGATTGGGGCCTCGCCTGCAGGCTCATTTTAAGTAAGCCCCCTGACACAGACGAATGGTTCTGTTTTGAAGTCCCTAAAAGTGCCTTGCGGTGCTTGCAGGGAATATCTTCTACACGGACGAAGCAACGTACTTGAGCGGCTCTCAGACTGATAACAGTATGGTGTGCACCTTCACGCTTCATGTCTCTTTTCACATGTCATGCTCTTGTGACTCTCTTTACCTTGTCATGCAAGGTACGGCATCAACCGGGCGTCCACATCGCGCCATGTTGTACGCACCATCTCTTCGAGCCTGCAGGCCTTTGATCAGCTCGCGCACGGACATACGCGAGATTACGCGGCCTTGCACGGGCATGCAAGCCGTAGTCCATGGTAGTCCAGATCATTCCGAAACGTAGCAGGCGCCACGCGGGTGCGTCTTTGATGGTGCGGGCACTGTTTATGCCTGGCACCTAGACATGTGCAAATGCGCTTCAGCATGAAAGTTCATGCGTGTCTGCGCCTGTGTATTCGCAGCAAGGTAGCGGACAAGTCACAGAATGCAGTGTTCCGCTTTGCTTCAAGCATGGACAGCCTCGAGCCCAAACCCATGGTGAAGGCTGGAATTGAAGCGCTCGGCAATACACTGCCACATGCCCCACCACCATACCGTTGTGTTGTGACAGTGGATGCCTGAACAGCGATGCGACGCTGCAAGCTGCGCAGTAGAAAGGCCTACAGGCCCGCAAGGTGTTTTCAATCTTTACCAGCATTGCGCGCAAGAAGAGCCTAACGTCGCCGGAGGCATACCAACAGCAATAATCTGGTATATTGTATATTGGCATACAGCCTCTATAGCTCCTGGATCCAGCTTTCAGAAGCCCTAAATCAGTTTCGGGATAGAGGCGTTGTAGCTATGGGGCTTGGAGCTAACAATATGTTCTTGCCTGCTTCAATCAGTCATGTCCAACCCAACACCCTCAGGCCCGCAAAGGATCCGCGCAACTGTGATGCTAGCGGGCAGTAGTTGAAGGTCAACCAAGTAGGCGCCGCCTTCCAGCGGCTTCAACTGCAAGCCTCTACGGCATGCTGCAGTCTTTTGCTACCTTTGTGGAACATGACTGTTGCCAGCAGGCAGCGGACCTGCAGGGAGCCTTTGGGCTTGCCATTCACGATGTGGTCGGCACCCATCGACAAAGCTGTGCTGTGAGTACACTACATGTCACTGCGTAAGGTCGGAGCCGTGAAGTCTTGAACAACTGTATCGACTCCTGCAGGGATACCAGAATCCTGGACTTCTACGCTGAGTAGCACTTGGCTTTGACACTGCAGACGGAGGCAGTCGGCGCGTTGAAAACAAATAAAACAGTACGGCGTTGCTTTGACTGCTTGTCCAGTGCTGCCGCTATCCGCTATCGTGCAGATGAGCCTATATGAATTTGGGCCGGCAGGGCTCTTGCGAGTTTGAGAGTGCTGGCTTGTGTTATTAGGGAGAACATCTTCATTGTAGAGCGGATGTAGAAAGAAGAAACCCGTAGCTGCCATAGCTTTTACGTCCACTAGATCAAGCCGTTTCAAGCTGCACAGATCTGTACAGATCTGTACAGTACTACACGGTGCTGACGTCGCCCCATGGTGGCATCCTTGGGCATTGACATGTGATGACATGTGGGGGGTTGCAACAGATGTTGCCAGATGTTGCAAGCTGCAAACCCGCTGCCAAGTGCACTTCGAGAATCTGCCTGCCCAAGGGTTCTTGTTGACCCTCTCTTGTCTCCCTCGTCTCTTTCCATGTCCCCTTTCGTGTCTGTCAGTCTCTTTCTCTGGTTGTGTCTGGCTGTCTCTCTCTCCCTCCCTCTCCTGCTGCAAAAGCACGACATGCACGACGACTCGAACCTTGTGCCCAATAGCCGAGTGGACTACTGGCTGCAATCAGTGTATGGCTGTCCCCTTATTGGTGTTTGCTCTGCTTTACTCACGGTGCAATGCTCCTCATGGTGTGCAAGTGCACTGGACGGTCAACTTTGCTTCCAGACTGCCAAAAGGTTGCCGTGGAACCCCGCAAAGTGCCTTTCTACCTGTTTCATCATTTCATCGGGTTTACGGGGTGCCGCATGCGCCTATCTGCTGTGGGTTGAGATCTGAATGCGGTGGCCCGCTCATTTGCTGGAGGCCGTGGGCTGCCATTTGGCGAAACAAGATCAAACGTGCGCCGGCAGGACGTGCTGGGTTCGACTGGAGCCGGATGTGTTTGAATGACGAAAACTGGATCGGATTTGTTTACTGGTGTGACGTCCTGCCCCTGCCATCTTGCAGAACTAGTGCCAACGAATATTTGGATCCGTGTTTCGGATCCTTCGGCTGCCACTTCTGTTTGCCAGTCCCGCCGAGGATCTTTGGTGTGCTTACCAGAGAATCCAGCAGAGTGTTCCGCCCCGCCATTCCCGCAACGAGTCAGTCCTGCTGAGTATTCTGGATCTCGAGTGCCCACCTCGAGAAAATCCAGCAAAGTGTCGTGCCCAGGATCCCGTGCAGTGCCCGCCCGCAGATAGTCCTGCCGACTATCCTTAGGGCCCGCCCGCAGAGATTCCCGCAGAGTCCCGCCCCAGTATCTTTGGAATTCCAGTATCTTCGGAGTCGAGAATTTCCTGCAGAAAGTCCCGCCAACATTCATCTTTGGAGTGCCCACCGCAGTCTCACCGAATATCCCCGGAGCGCCATCTTCCTAGAATCCCGAAAGAATCCTGGCGAGTATCCCTGAAGTGTACGTCCGCGCCCAAACAATCCCGTGGAGAAACTCGCCCAGTATCCCTACGTGTCAAACTACAAATCCTGCAGGGAGTCCTGCCCATAAGCCATAAACCATGGAGTGCCTATCACGAGAGAATCCCGCGAAGAATTTCGCCGAATATCCTTGGGTGCCCAACCCAGAGAATCCTTGCAGTGTCCAGTTGGAGCGCAGTCTCCTTATTTACCTGTTCCCAACATGGCGGGATGGCTTCTCACGTCGGCTACAAGCTGTAGGGTGGGGATGGTCGATGTGCAGATTTGTTTTCTGTTTGTCTTTGTATGTTTGTCCATGTGTTTTGTTCAATGTTTATTTGCCAACTTATGTGACATGCCGTGTAATCGAATATTTCCCATCTTCTGATTGTTATCATTGCTTTGTGCATTCGTTGTTCGAGTCTCTTTCTGTCCTTTCAAATTTGTTCTTCCTTCTTCTCGGTCGCACGCTCACCTTTTCGCACTCCTCTCCTCACAGTGTCTTGCTTTGGTCCTTCGCTCCTGTGACTCCCTATTCCCTCAACACGCCGCTCCTCTCACACTGGAAGGATGATTTTTTGTCGTCCAAGGCGCCTGTTGGCGGCATCCGCAGCCACACGGCTTGCCTCCCATCCATTCGAGTGTATCCTTTCCGAGAGCTCCACAATCTCTGCTCAGTGTGCCAAGGTGCGAACATGTGTGGCGCAAGTCTTCGGCACATCTGAGGCAAGGGCTCATCCTGTATGATTTCTGGAAAATCGTAAGCAAGTGTTGGAGGAGATCGAGATCCCCGTCACCATCAGCACTCGAGTAACTTGATGATGCAGAATGATGCACATGTAATTGTAAACGGTTGCACGCGCCGCCTCGGCAGTCGGGCCGGCCAGGACAGGAAAGGAGGAAAGAGGGTTTCGCAAAAAACGGGGACGAAGGGCAGCGAGGTCAAAGCGGGGGGGGGGGGGGGGAGGCACTCCCCCTGTAGGAGCCACCGACAGGCGGGACCCTCCACGGCATCGGTTTGCAGCTCCTCCAAGCGATTGGGGGGGGTCCCACAGGGCGGGGGGGGGGGGGGGGGAGAAAATTTTGGTGGGGGGAAGGGTTGGGTTAGGGGGAAGGAGGCCCGATCCGGGGTCTGCTTGTTCCAGACGCTTCTCGGCAGGAAGCCGAGGCGAATTTCAAGGCATCGTCAGCTGAAGGGGGCTAGTAGTAGCAGAACACCGAACCCTTCACGAGAATTGCAAAATCACCTAGCTCGAACTCCCCAGCATTCGTGGATGAATGTGTAGAAACGTACTGTGGCGTCCGCCTTTTGACAGTCTCTGAGAACAAGGTGGAGGAATGCTTGACGCAGGAATCAGTCGACGAACCTCTGTGCAAGAGTTCAACTCAAGTCTCACACTGCCTGGCTGGGAAAGGCCAGTTCCGCAGTCCCTAGCAAAGCCGGACAAGCGAGTCCAATCATTGAATTAATCAATCACCGTCATGAAGGCTCTTGTTTGTAAGCATCGACTCGTACAGGGGTGACCGACTTGCATGATTTTGCATTGTTGGGCCCTCAGCCAAGACCCTCGTGGTAAAGGAGCTGATCTCACAAAAGCCATCGAGCTCAGATCATGTCATGGTACAGTTGCCAAGCTGTCTCAACGCAGCTTTGGCCAGGTGTCGAAGAGTCCAAAGAGTCGAAGCGTGTGCATGATTCGCTGAATTTCGCTGAGGACTGGTGTCCATGTGGATGACCTCAAGATCATGGCTAAAGCCGGATCCTTCATGAGGATCCTCAGAGACACGGACGAGGCTCCCCAAAGCAAAGCGATGGCACCATGATCTTGGGACAATTGAACATTGAAAATTGAAGCCGCCTGACCAGGTGCGCAGCAGAATCCTTGTCAAAGGCCACGCGGTTCACCTCTCTTCGTTGCGAGGTTTTTGGAGAGTCTTGGCGATCTTCGGAGTCTTCGCAGTTTGGGTTCTCTGTAGCAGTCCTCTGGCAGGTGTCGAGAGCTTTGCGCGGAAGAAGCAGACGTTCCATGCTCAGCAGAGCGCCGGCTCTTTCCTGGCAGAGTAGCCAGCGGCAGAAGTCATTATCCCTTTCCGCTTGAATGAGAGAGATAGATATATGTATATACATTTATGTGTTAGCTTCTTGCATCTTCTTGCTGTTTTAGCGCGTTTTGCTGTCTGCTTTTTGCTTCTGCTTTTTACTTGTCGAGCGTCGCATGAAATCGGCAACAGACCTGGACCAGCCATCATCTTGCTTAACTTCCTGCATTTTTGTGTTCAGTGAATTCGCAAGTTTTTCAGGAAGCGTGATGGAATCATCAGACGCTAGCCGCCACTATCCATCCCTGCATGCTGCAGCTTTCCAAAGAAAACGAAATGTCTGCTTCATCACGCTGCATCTTGAGTGAAATTGGAGATTTCCTAGTCCCTAGCATTCAACCAAGTGAGCCTGGAAGGCAAGGGGTCTCTAGCGATTGGCGATGTCCGGCAGTTCCTAAGACAGCCTCGTTATTTTCTTGCGAAACAACCCTGATTCAGCTTACTGCAGTTATCAAGGTACAAACATCCTCATGGGATAATTGGAGCTGGCCACAATGGCTTGCGTCAGGCCTGACAAAATTCACCCAAAACTTCCAGTGTGTAATTTTATTCAGCAGCTGTCGCATGGAAGGGCATAGCTATGTGCAGGCACTTGCCTTTGCAGAGCACAGGGATACCAACTTCATTCTCTTCGATCGCCACAGCAGGCGGGGTCTCAGCCAGTAGCCACTGCATGCAAGCGAGGCAGTATGACACTTGCAGCTTTCTGAACGCAACAACAGGTGCTCTACATGCAGATTGCCCCACAAGCTCTTTAGTGGCTCTTTCGCTCGCAGGATTGGAGGGACATCCTGGCTTGACCACGCGAACAAGTTTTCAAAGGACGCAACGTGCCAGTCATAACGCAATGTTGCCCTTCAGTGATGTTGGATGTTGTCTATCCGACAGTTTTGGTCGGAGATATACTAGTACCAGTTTTAAAGAAGTGCCCCTACATCATCTGAGCAGGTTCAAACTGAACTTGGAACGTATCACTTGAACTTCTCCGACCAGTGCGAGTGCCCGAAGGCACACGCCAGGGGCACAACATGTCTGGCGTTGTGAAAGCACATGCAGCCAGGGGATGTCTCCTTGGCCAAGCAGGTGTGCAGCTTACTATGGACATTATGGATGCAAGTTCCCCTCATGTCGACCAAGCATGACCAAGCAATTTCACTCAGGGACGAGCTTTTGAAGCACTTCGAGGAGGCAGCCTGAAGAGCGGCAGTTCGTTGTAGTTCAAACAGAGAGCGAAAAGGAGTTAACTCACCGATAACCGAGAAAATAACAATTAAAGATTAGTTTTTGTAAACGCTTGCGCGGCGCCCAAGGCCTTGGAAATTCCACTTCAAAGCAGGTCCAAACCAAATCCCCAAAAACCTCAATGGGCCTCCAAAATGTTTGAGGCTTTGCGGAGAGCGAGGCCGGAACCTCCACAGCATCGGTTTGCAGCTCCTCCAAGCGATCTCTGGGGGGGGAGACAAATGGGTGCGGGGAAGGGTTACGGGGTAGGAGTCCACATCTTGGTCTGCTGGAACTGGCGATTTTGAAGATGAGGCCTTGGGCAGCTCAAAATCGCTCAAAGACCTTCGTTCATTGGGTAAAAAAGAAACCATCTCAAACCCTTTTCTTTCTTCGCGTGTTCAACAAGGCCCAAACAACGATCCAACGAGCTCTTTTCATGCCTTTCGCTGCTTCTCAAACCCTATGGCTGCCAAGTTGGAGGCCAAATGCTGGTTGCATTAGAAACAACGGCTGCGCGACACGGCAAGGAACTGGGACAGTGTATTGCAGAGCAACTATTGGTCATCTACTTTCCCGAAGATGCTTGAGTCCATTAGTGTATTTCTTGCAGGAAGGCATGCTGCACGCGTTCTGTAGCGTGTGAAGAGGTGCAAAGAAAAAGGGGAAGTGATCACGGGCGATGGAGACGAAGCAACAAAGAAGGAAACAAATACATACCAAGAACGAAACTGCCAAAAAGAAAACAGAGCACCCGAAGAACAAGTAGCCAGAGCCCTGGAAAGTAGAAGTTGGATAGGGGGAGGTTTTGGGAAGGTTATGACAAAGGCCACACGTAAGCAGGCGTACAAACCAAGGCGATGGAGGACACACCTTTAGGGGAGGACGCTTCACTGCAGGATTGCCATGTTTGGGAAAGCACGAGCAAGGCCACAACGGGTAAGATCTGTTTACTCGCATACAAACAAGTACTGTATGTTGCCAAGCTGACTGCGACATCACGACATATCACGTTCGAACTGCAAGTGCAGCCCGGTGGCCAGGCTTTTCCACGTTAACTGGTTGTTGCTGTGTTGGACACAGTCCCGGAGACATGTTGTGTCCCCCGCAAAGAACCCTGTCAAAGTCCAACGGACATTCGGCAGACACTCAGCACAAAACCAGCAACCGAAACTTTCGAAAGGGAAATTCTGCTGCTTTGCCTACGGGAACTAGTAGCCTGGCGGCGTGCAGGTGAGTGATGATTGGGGACTGCGCCCCCACTTCAGACTCAGTACGGATGTGCTGAGGTGAGCCCTGTGGGTTCAATTCGTTAGACTCAGTCGCAGCATATTGCAATATTGCATCATATTGCATCTGCAAGGTACGCCGTTATGAGCGATGGAGACGATCAGGTTTACAAGCTTTCTCTCAGGCGAGATGTGGAGGCGACACAACTTTTGTACATGGTAAAAAACAACATCTGGAGACTGAGACATGGCACTGCGACAATGGTTTGCAGGAGTCCGAAGCAACAGCCCGCTTCTCAGAAGAGCCTGAGTTTGGAGTAAGGGTGGACGAAGGGCATGCGTCACAGGGGCCCGGCGGGGGACGCAGCTCCTTTCCGTCAATTTTCAGGCCTTTCGGAGTCCTTGCAGCTGCCTTGCAGGTCTGCAGCTTAGTGATGTACCCCGGCAACCTTACGAACCCGCGGAGAGAGGCGCCAGTCACTTGACAGTTCAAAACAGGATGTAGCAGTAACACTGCATTTCAGCTGCGATTCTTGGGGGATCCTCTTCTGTTCTGGGAGGGCTCGTGGCTCGCTCCATGAAAGCACATGCACTGGTGTTTGGACTTCCACTGGACTTCCAGTGGACTTCCTTTCTGTAGAGATCGCATGAATCCTCAGGTTAGTGCATGTTGCTGTCGTTGTCGCTGGGTTGCAGTATTGCACTGCCTGCGTACAGAAACCTGCAAGCGCTGGAGGCAGATCTGAGGTGGCAAGTGCAGACTAACACGCACCAAGCTGGAGATACAGTCCAACAGATCTGAAGGAACATGCTGTGCATGTCTGTCGGTGGGTGTGAGTGAGGCTGGAGGACGGGGAAGAATATTCAGCACACAGGGCCGACCCTCAAAAGCTGGCCCAGTAGCTTAGCAAGCTGGAGGGTCAACTCGTGAACACAGCACATCACAGCACAACATGCAAGGTCCATATAGTGCACAGCACGCGACACGACGCACACGAAATCATTTCGAGACTTCATCAAGGGTCCCAAGGGTTGCATTTCACGCGTGGAGGCAGCGTCTAGTCTGTTCGAATCTCCCGCCGAGTTTGGACTTCTTGGACATACAAGATATATCTGGGGACACATTGGTCGGTTGCCTCATTGCAATCGAACTTAAATGAGATATTATGAATAGAATAGTCAGAAGTGGGTTTAGGGATTGAGACGAGACTGGCGATGCGGCGGGAGGTGGGATTTCTGCATGGGACCTTGCTGGCACAGTCCGGCACATGATGTCGCATAGGCCTGAGAACTGCAATTTGAGTGCCAGGACTACAAGGGTGAAGACGTATTTGGAGCTGCAGCCCCAGGTTTGCACAATTTTCCACGTTCCATACTTCGATGGCCTTGCTAGGGTCCAATTTCCTATGGTATGTTCGATGAGACGGACTACGATGTACTTTCTGGCAAGCGGGTCGGGACCTTTGCATTTACCTGACGGCTGCAAGATGGCAGATGGCATTGACAGCAGCACGGGAATTCTTTGGAAGCACATGGAGGCAGGAAGTCGATGCCAAAAGCGAGTTCTTAAACTTCAGAGCAGAACTAAGCGAAGACAAGTGGATTCACGCAAACATATCAGTTTCAACATCGACGAAGTTCAGCGAATAGAGAAGAAAGTTCTGGCACAAAGTGAACGAGGTGTGGAGCAGCTCATGGAGGCTGTAAGAGTGAAAATCTGTATGGCGAGTACATGGAGAAGTGGGATCAAGCTGAAACGGTCTTGTAAGTAAACATCCTTGTAAGCTCGATTCCGCCTAGCAAACGCATGCAATTGCCTCTGTGCTGCGCAGTGCTCCTGGAACTTAACGGTACATAAGGAAGGCTTGCAATGCTTGCCATATGCAGTATAATGGTGAAAATGCCGTTTGCCAACCCAGTGCTTCAGTGCAACCAAATGTGCCTTGGCTACCACCTATGTTCACAGGTTTTTCCAAACTTTCTCTCGAGACAGGCTGCGTACTCGCAATAGGGATCCGCAGCTAGATTGCTTTCTGCCATGTCTGAACATGCCCTCACCTGTATTGAGCCAGCCACAATCTGCAGAAGGAGCTCCTGTTCTCATGCAAAGTATCATGCTCGACACCCTGGAAGGTGGGTGTAAAACCATCGCTGTGGTGCTGCTACTGCTACTGCTGCCGATCGCTGCTGGATGATATCATGGACATCCCTGAGGTCATGGACATTTTTGTCTTATCTCGAGCGGGAAAACAGTAAAAAGCATCGAGCGCGGGGCGGAGCAAACCAAACCCAAACGCCGCTTGATGATAAGATATGACACGAGGTTTCGCTCCATTTGATTCTGAATTCCAACTTCCTGTGCCAATGCGGCCACATTCGTTTCAAGAGGGGCTTCAGCCTGCATGACAACTGCAATTCGTCTGTGTAACCAGTGAAAACGAACTTCGCCCCTCGGCCTTTTGCAAGAACCGAAGGCGTCTGCAGCTTGTCTGTTTCAGGCTCTGGTGGAAGCTGTCGTCTTTGATTTTCGCTTGTTCATTGTTTCGTTTTTCGCACTCATCTGTCCATGAAACGACCACGTGTCTTCGGCGCGTTAGTGGAAAAGCTGGGCAGGGGGGAGGTGAGGCTCTGAAATATTTCAGGTGGTCTGCTTGGCGCCACAGGTGGAAATGGCTGGGGCTGGGGGTAACAGGCCGAAATTTCAACATTCAAGGGGGTAAGCGGCAGAAACGTACTTCAGAAACCATTCTGGACCAAAACACTCAGGTGTGGCAGAGGATACAGCCACAGTCTAAAAACAAACACACCGAAACAAAAAAAAAGAAAACGTCACAACCCACATGCAAAAGCATAAACAAGAACTCAGAGACTGCTGCTCGGGAAATTCTGGGGTGGTTGTTGTTCAAGCAGTATCACATCCCTAGCTTCTTTCCCCAAAGAGACAGATAAGAGGAAGAGAAGAAGAAGAATAAGACGAAGACGAGGGCGAAGACGAAGACGAAGACGAAGACGAAGAGGAAGAGGAAGAGGAAGAGGAAGAGGAAGAGGAAGAGGAAGAGGAAGAGGAAGAGGAAGAGGAAGAGGGAGAAGAAGAAGCAAAGGAATGACAACCAGGGAGAAGACAAACGGCCTTTGTCGGGAAGCTGTTAGCTAGCTATGCCAAGAGAGAGAGAGTGAGAGAGAGAGAGAGAGAGAGAGAGAGAGAGAGTAAGAGAGAGCGAGAGAACCAACGAACCCGTGGACTTCGCGCGCCCCTAGGGGCAGCCTTCCCTTCGGGGGGGGCTAAGCGTGCAGGAGAGAGAGAGCGAGAGAGACAGAGCGAGAGAGGGAGACGGAGCGAGAGGGAGAGAGAGAGAGAGAGACAAGGCAAACCACGAATAACGTGGTACAGCCCACCAGGCGGATCGACTGGCGCGCGCTGCTGGGCAGCTCCCCTTCGGGGGGGCATATGCGTGCAGACAGGAGGCGAGAGAGAGAGAGAGAGAGAGAGAGAGAGAGAGAGAGAGAGAGAGAGAGAGAGAGAGCGAGAGAGAGAGAGGGCGTACACTTGTTGGGGTTGAAGTGAAGGGGAGCGCGAGCGCGGTCACAGTACAGAGCTCCCAGTGGGGTCTGAATGTGGGGTGGTTTAGAGTGTGGGGGTTGGGGAGGTTGGAACTTCGGAAGGTTGAGGCGGTTTGTGGGGGCTTTGGGGGGATTTCGGTCCTTGGGGGCTGGCACACTAGGAACACTAAGGACACCCACTAAGGCTCACTAAGGCACCACTGGGGGTGCCGCGCGGCTGCCAAAGGGCAGCCGGAGACGATACAAAAGTCTCACGAGACGCGGGAGCGGGGCGCGCCTTGGCGCAGGGTCCGTCCCTATGCCCCTAAGCAAAGCAAAGCAAAGAGAGAGAGAGGGCGGCCCCTTCGGGGGCCCATGTGCCGTGGAAGGAAGGAATGAAGAGAGAGAGAGAGAGAGAGAGAGAGAGAGAGAGAGTGGCAGGAAGGAAGAAAGATAAAGCAACACTCCCTGGGGGCCTCTTTGCTGAGTGGAAGAAGAAGATAATAAAGCAACAGAAACAAGAAAAACGGAAAGCAGTAAAACCAGTGGAAGGGAGAGAGAGAGAGAGTCAGGGAGAAGACGAAGCCTGTTTCGGGAAGGTTTTAGTTGGCTAGCATAAATGGACACACACACACAAGAGAGAGAAAAGAAAGCCAGAGAGAGAGAGAGAGTTCTTGTGTGGCCACCTTTCTTCATAAACGAACAATTGGAGCCGATTTCAGCCCAGGCGTCCCCATGCAGGCCAATCAAGCTTTCACACCCGAGACCCGCTGAACCGTTTGGCAGTCCTGGCCGGGCCCCTGTCTCCGGAGAGGGGCTGTCAAGCGGCAGAAGAAAAAGAACAAGAAGCAGGAGAAGAAGAAGAAGAAAAAGAAGAAGAATAAGAAGAATACGAAGAACAATAAGAAGAAGAGGAAAAAGAGACGGACAGAGAGAAAGAGTGACGACAAACGTGAATTGGAGAGAGCTAGACGGACAGGGAGAAGCTTTTAGCTGGCTATCTTGACATTGGGACGTGTACCGCGGCATTTTGTTGCATCCTTTCCACCCCCTCAACACAGTCGTTTGAAACTCCGGGACCTCCCCCATCCCAGGTATGGGCACAATCCTGGAATATGTTCATGTTGGCGACAAGGGGGGGGTGGGCGTCACTCCCGCCCATTAGGGGGTAGTGATCAACTTCTTTTTGGGCTGTACCGGTTTTGTGGCCGATACGGGCCGAATACCTAAACACACCCCTTTAGAGAGCCCGCAAACTATCCGACGACACAGGCAAGTAACCATTCAATTTGAACCTCCTTTCGAGGTCGGCGCTGTGGCCTTCATAATGAGCCTTCATATGTCATATGCCTTCATGCCAGCTAGTATTCTGGTAATTTCAGTTTCGATCGCAAGCCGCCGTAAGATAACGTCATCACCCACGGGCAACTTGTTGAAGGCCTTGAACCAATCATTCGTTGCGCCGCAGACAACGTCACCCTCTAACAAAGACATCTCCAAAAGCGCTGTCAAAGACACCAAAGACACGAGATCCTTGGTGCCTTAGTGCTCGCTTTACGCCGGCATCCCGGCGAGCCCTCCGACCCGTGCATCCTGCCAGCAAAGATCCCGAGTCCCGCATCGGCGCTGTCCAAAGGTTTGTCCAGAACTCCCGTATTTTGCCATCAATCCCTTCGAGATCAGCTGTCACATTTGTCGCAACGTAAGACCTTATTAGCAACGAACTGGTACTTATGGTTGGCTCACAGCCTCTCAGAGCAACTTTTTGTGCATCATGCATGCAAGATTCAGTTTCTGGTGCTTTTGGGTTGCGTGTTCTTCATGAGTTCAGGAAGGAGTAACATTGCTGAACTTTCCAAGCGTTCTCAACCATGGGCCTACCAAACCAAGCCTTTGCCAAGCCCAAGCAAGAGTCAAACAGCGCTCACCGTGCCGCTAGCAGCGAAATTCGCCCGCACATCCGACAACGTTGCGGTCCTGATGAGATTAGCCCTTTCGCCAATTGGGTCAAACTCAGAGGGAGGGCTGGCAGTGTTGAGCTCCAGACCAAGTTTGGAAGGCAGGAACCATGTCGGTAAACCATGTAGTTTCGTTTTTCCTTGGGCAGCGTTTCGATCGTAATGCCCTGCAGTTGTGACTCTCACAAATATACCCTCGCATCTCCCCCTGCAGCAGTTGCACAATTGGAGCTGCTCTTGCTCAGGTGGCCATTGTGGGCTTTGGTGCCTTTGCGGTGGAGAACATTCGCACCTGTGGCGTGCTCATCTACATGTTATTTGCCGATATCTGTATTTCCGATACTGGACTTGGCTCATGAAGTTGCAGTAACAGGTTTTCGTCTTTACAGGCTGTGAGCATCGCGTGGATAAGATCTTTCTCATCTGCCGAAGGCGGCCCCTTTTGAGAGAAAAGACCCGCTACTTAACTAAGTAATAAAGCTTGTCTCTCTCACACACCACTCTAGTTGAGAGAGGCGCAGCTGCTGAGTGAAGACGCTTTCTTTTCTTTCTTTTCTTTCGCCTTTCGCCGCATCTCCAGGAAGAACTTGTGCATGCCGCGGATGGTCTCGCACCACTCTCCCTGTTTGTTTGTTAGTTTGTTTTTAAGGAAGAATTGCTTTTTGCAAAACCCTGCATACTCCAACCCAAAGCATCCCCGCGTTTTGTTTTGGCCAGGTGGTGGATCAACGGCTCTGCTTTTGCCGTTTCAGCCGCTGATGTTCTCAACGAAATGGAGGTCTGCGTGCTTTCGCGAGATTGATGCCCGAACCCATCTCAACTCCACACGTTGGAATGTTCAGTCTGGCACAAAGAAGTTAGAAGGTGATATGAAGGTGTGCCATGGTGTGAAATCGTGTGCCGTCTGTGTGCCACGGTTCTTCAATAAAGCCGAGACAGCGACGCGTCAGTCCTGGTCGAAGGCTGAAATGAGAATAGTAGGGAGTAGTCTGCTTGTGCACACTGGTAGTATATCTATGCGACAATTTGCATCAGAGCATCCATGCCAACCCGAGTACATAGATAAATTGAACACGATTATGTCTATCCTTATTTTAGGCCTCGCACGGCCCGGCGGAACAGGCCGGCCCTGCCGTCCCGCACAGCCGAAATCCTAAACCTTGGCATCAGGAGCATCAGGGAGCATGGACTCACCATCGCCCATTTAAGCAGGCCGCGGCCTTTGCCCGGCCCCTCCAGAACACCCTCTATGTGTCGCCCACCTACCTCACCCACCTCTCCATACCTCTCCCAAACTCTCCCACCTCGCCATTCAAAGCAACCCTGTGTGGTCGCCCCTGCTCCCTTTCATTCGGACCCGCTCCACCCTCCCACGTGTGTGCTCAACACTCCCCCCACCTCTTCCAAGAGACTCGCCCATCCGGGAAAAGAGACGTCGAGCACCTTCAGCAGCAGGACGTGTACAAGATGGTGGGAGATGATCCGCACGGTCCTTTTCTTGCTGTGCCTGCGAAGCGGATCTGCAGACTTAACGTGAACAACATGGTTTCAACTAAGGTGGGGATATTACGCCGTGATTGGCAACGAGTCCCGGACAAATGTTGCAATATGTCAGAAGGCAGCTGCTGCATGCGATTCCCGGTGCTTTTGGTTCCTGAGTTGCTGGTATGGGCTGGAATGGGTGTTGGAATCAATCTGCATCAGTAGTTCTGTTCAAGAGCAGCGTACCGTGCGAAGGGTTTGACGGTGTGAGCTGAGGTCTCCTCCTGTTCAGTGAATTGACTAACTTTGCGCATCTCTTGTATTACACCACGCGCGTTAGAGGAATCCAACGGAAAGTGACACGAAATTGAGGAGACACAGAGACACATGACCACGGATGACTAGAGGCGAACCCAAACACAGTCCAGGCAAACGTCTTTTGACAGAGCAAGGCTGTTTCGTCTGCTCAAGTGTTGCAAGGATTCGAGTCGACTTCGCACTAAGCCTTGCAGCCCACTAGACTTGCTGTTGCAGCTTGCAGTATCTTGCAGTACACATTGCAGTATGTTGCAGCCGCTGCAGGCTCGTTTCGGCATCGGGGACATCTACTTTCTCTCCAGGCACTTTGGTGTCATCCCGAAGCCCGTGAACCCAGCAGAAATTCACAGTGTTCCAGCGTTCAGGTACTACGGAAAGACTGAGGTGGTCCAGGGAACGATCAAGAAACTCAGTGAGAAATCCATCCACTTGGAGGATGGCACCAAAGTCGCGGATGTGCAGGCACGAGATGTCAGAGCAATGGTCAACACCGGTTGACACTCTGCATAGGGGCAAAACCGACAAGAGAGTACTGAGGTTACAACTCCCTTGCAGGTGCTATTCCAACATCCTTGCATCTTTCCTGTTTTTCATATCGCGGACCCTAACCCTCACACCACAGACTGGTTGCTTGCATTACACAAGAATCCTGCTGTTCACCTTTGCCTGCTTCAGTCGCTGCTTCTGTAACTTCTGTAGCCTGCGGAGTCACCTGCGGAGGCCATTCTCAAGCTGTTCGGGTTTGAGCCGGAATGGGCTGTGGACAAGTTCCTCCAACTGAAGCATTTGTCGGGAATCTGGGCCTTAAGCTCAGTGCCCCGGGCGTGAAGCGCTACATGCATTGCCGATGCATTGCCATGCGGGAGTCATACTGTGTGGATCAGATGTTGCGCGTCGGCAGCTGTCAAACCTTCGCACAATGTTTAACATTCCAAGGTCAATGACGACTACAGGATTGGCACAATGTCTGAGTTTCCGACGGTGAACGCACAAAGATTTGGGGGCACCTCTCTTTCCCCCTCGGCCGTGACAGTGTGCAACATGTTCTACCACTTCTGGAATCTCGCTGCCATGGGGGTTTGGGTCGCGGGTTGCGTGGTGTGTTGCGCCGGGTGTGCTGCACATGGTGTGTGGCACATGGTGTGAAGCATGTGCTGTGGCTTGTTGCAAATTTGTGATATTTGAGAAGGCACCGAGCTGAACCGAGGAAGTACCCAAAAGATTTTGAAAAGATGCTTGCTACCGGAATGCTTCCAAAGCATGTGCCAAATCTTCACAAAGACGAGCCAGGTCGGGACATGTTTTGACCTTCAGATGCTGCCTCCATGTGCAGTACAGTCTACAGATGTCTGAAGCAGTGATCTTGGCACATCTTTGTACAGGCTACGTCCTTGACGCAAAGATCGGGTCACAGACGCTGATTGCCATCACCACGTTGTGCCCACAGCTCGCAGAAGTGACTGCCAAGTATGACGACAGCTTCAAACGCAAGAAGCAGCCGATATCCCAGTAGAGCTTCAAGCGGTGCCAAGCGAAGCCAAGCACTCTTCCTGAGTTTTTTCCAGTGTCCCGGCCGTCTCCCAGAGCAGTGGCCTATAGCACTCCGAGGTGGGGCACCCACTCCCTGGAGCAAATTCAAGCAGTGGCAGCAGAAGATTGGCTGCGGTATTGTCAAATATTCAAAGAAGCGGGAGATGAAAGGCACAGCATGGCACAACATGGCATAACATGGCACAGCCTAGCACAGCGTGTTGGGCTTCAGAGTCTTGAACCTTTCACGGGGGATGCTGTATTGCTTTCGCTGGCAAGGCCTTTTCCGCCGTATCCATATTCGAAAGAGCGAGTGCAAAGGATGGTGGCGTGGAAGCATCAATAGCATCATTAGCATCATTGGCATCCCTAAGTTCGAAAAGTGCAAAGCAAAGGCATTTTTTTGTCTGAGGTCGAAAAGCAAGACCGGGAGGAGTACGAGCGATTTGTCAAAAAGGGCGGCGTGCCCAGCGGCTGACTGCAATGTTATAGATGACTGACGGACTGCAGCAGTTGCAATATGGTGCAAGTGTGGCTGTGCAGGCTGGATACAGTAAAAATCTGGAGGAAGTCTTTGGATCGGGGAAGAACAGTGCCGCAACGGACCGCTACTACCACGTCTTGATACTTCTCGATCCAATTCTCGACACACAACAGCAAAAGATGGAGAGCTGGACCATTCGGTCTGCCGCGAATGACATGGGGCAGCAGGAGCCTTCAAAGCAGTTTCTTCTTTGCCATCGCAGCGGGCGCTACGTGAACCACGTACAAAGCTATGCGGACAACTGAACGGAACATGGAAACAGGAAGTTGGAAGTGGGCGAAGTGTCCATGTTGAGAGACTCCGGAAGCTCAGCCTGCGGAACAAAACATTGAGATCGCCCGTCATCAGATCGCAATATATCGCAGCATCCGATCGCCAGGCCTTGTAAAATTTGCGCAGCGTGTGAATTCTGGTGACTTGAGTTAGGTTTGCCAAGGTTCTGCTGCTATTACAACTTGCCGTGGCCTGGCGTACTCGTAGGAACGTCACTGGTCCCAAGCTCCTCAGCTTCTCAGAATTGTCATGAGGCCCTCTTGTGAGTTGTTCAAAACATGGAGCTTTCATTTCAAAGAAGGCATGAACTACAGCAACACGCAACGGGGATCGTGAACCATTGATGGGCTGTCTGAAAACAGCTACAAGCGGCACCGACGTTGAAATGAGCTCGCCCCTTGCACGGAAGGCAGGCTCGCACAGCTTTGTGGGACGATCAGATTTGGATTCAACCGGCTTGAGAAAACCGCTGCTGGCAGGCTTCAAGATGTAGCTGAGGAGTGGCCGAGCAGATCAACAAGTAACCAAAGGCATCGGGGTGAGACCACTCATCGCATTTCCACATGTTGCCACGTCATGTGACAGAGGAGGACTCTGATCGCTGAGTGATCGCTGCAGGCTGTCTGCAGGCCAGCACGGTGGCCAATCCCCATGACGTGGCCGATGCCAGTGGCAGGACTTGATAATATCTTGGTAATCTTGGGTGCACGTGCCGTCTGGTTCCTATTAGCTAGAGTCTAGAAGCTGGCCAGTTGGGAGGCAGGGATGGAGTTTGATGACGTGCTTCATCCCTTCGACTCCGCCATATCCTCATACTCGGATGGGGTATCACGGCCCATGGGGAAAAGAGTGACATTCGGCATCTTTCGGGCTTTCGCACTTCACAGAGCCTGACACAGCTTCAACAGATCGCTGCAGGGCAAACCTGGACCCTGTCCGCGACCCCTTCCACCGAGACCGTTAGCCGGCAGCCGAGTGCTGCCATTATTGGCGACAGCATGTGAAGCATGGTGTGAGCAGCTGAACAACTCGGGTGACATGTGTCAAGGCCTTCGCCAAGGCTTCTGCAAATACATTAGAGGCGGGCGCACTGGTCTCTCAGCCATTGCAGCATGTGCAGCGCAACTGAGCGACGCCAGCAGAGCCATGAGGTTGGCGACTCCTGTGGCGATGTGAGGACCTTACTGAGCAGGTAGTTGGACTCAGTTGGATCGTCGGATATCATGGGGCCGCGGCTTTGCCAAAGGCATTCACCGTGCAGCTCGCAGCGGATGCTCGTGCTCTTCTCGCCGTCTTGCGTGCAGAGCAGGCTCTTCGGGAGCAAAGGGTTCTACACTTCTACACGTAGCAGACATGGGAACCTGACGATATTCGTGTGTCTGCTGTGACTTTCGGACCCGACCCTGCCCTGGCTGAGACGACGATGTCGTTCTCAAGCCTTGAGAAATTTGAGAAGGCAAATGACTTCAAGCAGACTCTCTTTTGCAGACTGTTCCTTGCAGGCTCCTTCGGCTTTGCCGCTGGGCCTGGTGTCTCCAACTGCCGAGGAATATGGCCCTTAAACAGCCCCTGCCAATCCCATAAAACACTAAAACAGCCCGACACTCTGTGCACATCGGACCGACAGTCGCGACTGCTGCCTATTTCAGTGACGAAATCTAGCCACCGAGACCTGCTTTACCTGAGTTTCCTGCCCACCAAGCGTTAACTTACAGGGGGGGTTAGCAGGGTGGGCAGGGCCTTTTTTTGGACTTGGCTGCGCCGGTATGGGTTCGGGCAACTCCTCTCGATTCGTCATTGACAGCGCAAGAGAAGAAACGTTTCGTGCTGCCGGCTAGCACCCAAACATCTTTGATAAAAGGAGTTCAACAACCGGCTCCTGAAAACCCGGCCGGTGGCATACTGAGCAGCATGCCCGGAGGAGGCGCAAACGGAGGCGCAGACGGAGGTGCAGCTCACTCAAGGACTCGAGTGTTCCCACGAGACAATTGACTCGACTCAGTCTAGGGCAATGGAGAAAGTGACAGTGTAAGGCTCTCTCGTGCAGGGCACAGTGCACAGTGCACACCCGGGTCCTCACCGCAACAGGAACTTTCAGAACTTCTTTGTCCAGAAGCTGCAGGAGCTTGTGGGGCGTAGAAGATTGTCTCCAGGCAAAGGATTATACAAATGATTAAACGAATATGCAGTTTTCTCTGGGAAAGTCTTGTCTGTTGTCAGCAGCAGACTGCTAAGCGCTTGATCTTCTGTTCTATTCTGATGCGTCTTTTCTGCCATCGCAAAAGTTGGTTCGGATGTATTCTGTGGGATTCTTCAAGCAATTCAGAGAGTTCTGCTTTTCATGTTCATAAAAAATAAATGTAACTAAAAATAAATGAACAAGTAAATAAATAGATAAGCATATGTGTATATATATATATATGTATATATATATACATATAATTGTATCTATCTATATATATATATATATATATATATCACTGTGTGGGGTTCGTGTTTTCATGGCTGGATTGGCGCCGGGTGTTTTCGCCTGCGTGCTGAACGCATTTCGAGGCTGAGGCTCTGGAGGCTTCGCTGCGGGTTTCGGGAGTTGGCCTTTCAGAGGCTCTACAGGCTCTGTTGCGCATTTCGCTGGCACCGCGCGTGCATCAAGCATGCAGATACTGTGGCATTTTAAGACGTTCGCGCTTGCAAAAACCTCAGAGGCGCCGTGCCTGTGTAGATGTTCCAGATGCTAGGAGCTTGGAAAGCAGCTCGGAACGCTCGGGAAACTGCAGGAGCTGCAGGTTGATGTTCGAGGACTGCAAGGGATCGCAAAAGAGACGCAAAAGAAGCCGAGCCCAGCTCATCCTTGCAGGAAGCAACCGATCTGCAGGCAAGGCACACGACAGCCGAGGCCAGGCATCACATCGGCACGTGGCATCAACAGCATGCAACAGCATGCAACAGCTATGCCAGCTATGCCATGCAATATTGACTTTGTTGCAGGCTGAACTGCAGGCATGGGAGGCAGCAATCCATCAGACGGAGTTGAGTGCAATAAGTAGCCTGGCATGGGCATGGCCATCTGTACACGCTTGACGCGTCGTTGGCCAGCTGACCCTGAACATCGCATGACCACACATTCTATCAGGCGATTGGAATCAAGCCCTTTTCAAAGCACATCCAACCGCTGAAGCGCGTATTGAAGTATTGGAAGCTTGTCGTCGCTGTCGGACCTCGCACGCCGAGGCCAAGGTCCTGTAACTTAGCCCTTTTTGCCGGAGAGCGCGCAGTTTACTTCACTGGGTGCGCACTCAAGAGTGGTGGCGTGGTCTCGTCTGGGACGTTGTCTTAGTGCCCCAGAAAGCGGGATGGCGGATGGGGGAATTGGAGGATCTGGAGGACGCAGGAGGTATCGTTGGAGCTCGTTTGGTGGAGTTGATTCTCTTGCAGCTGCAGGCCAAAAGTGTTGGCCAGGGCAGCGAGATGGAAGAGTTTGCCAGGGCTTGCGCAGAGGCAAGTGCAGCTGGCCTTGGCTTGCTGTCTCTCACACACTCACAACAGCGTGGCTGTCTCGCTGACGCGGTGCCTTGGCAGGTGCTGCTTGGGGCTGGAGCTGCACAGGAACAGGCGGCACTGGAAGCCAGACAGGCAGGAGCCTTACGTAATTCGTCACGGTCACGAGCAGAAATCACGTGCCGAAACAGCATCCACGTGACAAATGGCGCAGGCACTCCAGGCAGTCGAGCACTACCAGGCCAAGGCCGGCTTTCCTTCCTCGAACCGGATTCAGCAAAAAGCACCCCGCTCAAAGCACTGCAAGGAGCACTTTTGCCATATCCAATGGGCAGCACAGCATAGCATCGAAACTTTGGAAAACGTGCGGTTGCATCACAAACCAAAACGCTCCTAGAGCACAGGCGCACAGCATCAAGCCGATCAGCCAGAGCAGCACACGTAGAGGCCAATGCTTCCGTCCAGTGGGTTCCGGGTCCTTGTGATATTCTCGCGATATGTGGCACTTAGACCGAGAGGCTAAGAAACTCCATGAAACTCCACATGTCTTCGAAACGTTTTGCTGATTGCAAAGCACGGCGCCGAGGCCGTCCGATGTAGAGATACGCTGTCCATGATGCTCTCACTGTGTGTGCCTTGTGTGTTTTGTTTTGACGAACACGCAACAGCAGCGCAACGATCGGACATCTGTTTACATACCGATCCACAAAATTTCATCTTCGCAAAACGTTGCTATGTGTTTGAATGCTGCGACACACATCGGATACAACGGGGAAGCACGCCCGTTGTCATACAGGCATGGATGCCTCGCACAGCGGGCGTCACATTGTGCAGGCAGGAATGCCTCGCATCCGCAAGGATGACATTGGACAAGCATGCCTTTGAAGTGTGGCCTCTGTCACGACGTTGTATGAAAGCTTGTTCTGGAGTTTGAGTTGAAGTTAGGGGTTTTTAAGTTTCTTTTGGGAAGTCTCCTTTTTCCATATTCTGATCCTTGGACTTGGCCGTCGTTCCTGCCGGAAATGAGTGTGACCGGCCTGCCAATGGGCTGGCTACGTTGTCAAGGACATCTTCGCGGGCCCCTTCGCCCGGAGAGTCTCGAGCTCAATGTCGGTGTCTTCAAGGAGAAGTCGAGGAGTACGATCGAAACCAAGTGGGATGCGCCAGATGAGTTGGACGACGCGCTGGAAGAGGAAGACGAGAGGAGCACCAGGCGGTAGGATACGAGCCTAATCATGTGGT